AGTGTTTCGACGACCTCGACCAAGTCGACCAGTACTTCGACGTCAACCAAGTCAACCAGCACTTCAAGTGTTTCGACGACCTCGACCAAGTCGACTAGTACTTCAACGTCAACGAAGTCAACCAGCACCTCGAGTGTTTCAACAACGTCAACCAAGTCAACGACAACGGCTCCAACCACGACCAGCACGACTTCTAGTGTCTCGACGACTACAACTAAGTCGACGACGACTGCTCCAACCACGACGACAACAACGACGACCACCATAAATCCTACAACGACGGCTCCACCAACGACCACGACTACATCTACGACCACGAGTACCACGACGACATCTACCACAACTACCTTTGACAGCTGCCGTAAGTCTCCCTAGATAAACGGAGTAATTCTATCGAATTCTCCCAGTCCGCTCTTCTTGAACTGACGAGGAATCAGCTACGGGTACCACATTCAACCTCCAAAGCAGCGCAGATGGAAACTTCGCCACGCTGTTTCAGAACGGCGATGTAGGGTTTCTCCTGGATTTCGACACCGCAGACGTCACAACGGCAGTGCCACTCACTTTCGCCGAGCTCGGGGATGGATCTTGTGCGCTGACTTCCCCTGATCTCGAGGGATATGCAAGCGTCGTAGCCGACAACGAAGGGGAATTTGCAGAATTCCACTACGTCTACCTCAGCAACCCTGACACCACACCAGAGGACATCACTCTCACTCCGCTCAACTGCGTCGTCACGCCGGCGAGTCAGTTGAGCTGCAATGTACAGGATCAGGACATTTTGCAACTGGCTGACTCGTACCTGGCTATTGCCGCCGAGTTGTTTGGTACCGCGTCGGCGTTCACGTTGGTGCCCGTCGTCTAGTGTGAGAGAAAAGCTCCGTCGCGGACGGTGCGAGTCGTGACAAATGTCAATATAGGATGGATCATGGTACAGAGGTCTCAAGCGTGTGCATGCATCGGGGGGACATTCTTTCAGATGTGAAGGGGCTGCCACGAGGACATGGGACGGAGGAACCCTTTATTTTTAATTCTTCGACACCGTAATCGTCAGCTGTATCAAAGTTGACTCATCCCTCAATTTTAACATGACAAGTTTGTCTTGGTCTGCGCCTTCGTACGGTCCTTGTAGATGTGGCTGGTTGGCTGGCTGGCTGCTACTGTTTGATCCAGGAAAAGCGCCGGGCAGGCGACCATGCAAATCCGAGCCATGAGACGGTCTGGCACGCAATCTCTGTTGAATACGGAGTATCGTAGGCACTAATTACTCGTAATCGTGCCTCCAACCAGGTCAAGGAGCGGGAGCACGCACGCGTTGAGCCTCTACGCATTGTCATAACTACGTCTACTCGTACCATTTGACGCCGCATATCAGGCATAAGCGGGGAACATGGCTCGCAATTGAGCTCTGCATTGCAATCCACCGGAAGCATAATCATGATGCTCGCCATGATCGGCGTAGAGCACAGTACGAGTATTCAGCGTGTCAAGCTCGCGGTCGTGCTAATTATGTGATGCCTTTGTGTAAAAATCGGCACGTCGGTTACCTTTGAGTTCGGAAATTCGCTGTCCGAGCACATGATCCACTGTAGCGCATTACCCGAAACAATAAATGAAGCTAATACACTTTTGGCGTAGCTCATAGCCTGCTGTTCAGAAGTCGTTCAGTGGCACGTTCCTTCTACTCTCACTTATACCACGTCCTCTCTCGTCTCCTGTGGACAGGTCCTTAATACTGTATGGCTCGTATTCGAGAGACCCGGTGATTGACATGACGACCAGAAAGCAGCCCGAAGGCTCATTCGTTGCTGAAAGGAGCAGGAGACAGTCATGAATGATGCGCCATGCACCACCACCGTTGTTGACTCAATGGAACCCATCTCGAGAATGTCAAGCAATATGTTCCCTGTCGCCACGGAGATCATCGCCTTACACCGGAGGGACTCGGTCTGGGCACTAGAACGATAATGCGTTGGTCGAACCCCGCAGGACCAAGCAGGAAGGCAGGCAGGCAGGCACTGGACAATACTTCTGCGTGCGAAGGAATCAGAGAAAGCTATGTTGGAGGACGAACTTGAGACCACAGGCTCCGAGCCCCTATGTGGAAAGTCGCCTTTGACAGGACTCGAGTCTTGTATACGAGAATCTCCATCATGCAACAAGACACAAATATCAAACTGGGGAAAGATGAGTAGATGACGAAGTTGGCAGTCAAATTCCTACCCACTCCCTCTCACGACTTATTCCTACCCACTCCTCCTCACCAAGGCAACACCACGCCATCATACCGCCACAAACGGACCTCATCTTCGACCTTGGCGCGATCCACAATCCTCATCATCCCCTCGATGCTCTCCGCCGGCGGGATGGTGCCCAGGCCGATCCTCTTGGCCAACGGCTCGACCGTCTCGGTGGCCACGACACCGGGATGGATGGGAAAAGCCACGATGCCGTTCTTGCGCTCCTCGTACGCGACGTGCCGGAGGAACATGTTCAGCGCGGCCTTGGAGATGGCGTACGCGGACGACTGGCCCGGCAGGTCCTCCACCATGGCCAACGAGCCGTACTGCGTGCTGATGGCGACGAACTTGGGCGTGCCGCCCTGGGCGACGGCCTCGAGCATCAGCGGGCGCAGCGCCTTGAAGACGGCAATATTATTCAGCAGGTTGACGTCGAGGAAGGCCTGGTATTCCGACAGGGGCGAGTCGGCAATGCTTGTTTCGTGCCCGATGATGCCTGCACGGTACGTCAACAAAAAGGGGAGGGTGTGTCAGTTGTCGGCGAGGGTTCGTTAATTTGTCGGACGGGTCGATGAGAACTTGACAAATCTGACTCACCAGCGTTGGCAATCACGACGTCCACCTTGCCCGCCACTTTCCTGACCAGCTCCGCGGCCTGGAGCGCCTCGTCCACGGCCTCGGGCTGCTTGGTGATCCGCACGAGATGCACGTTCCCTTTATCGGTCAGGGCCTTCAACTTGGTCGATTCCGGATTGCGCGATGTCGCGAAGACGATCGCGCCAGGCCGGTCTCGTAGTTGGCGCACGAACTCGTACCCTATGCCCTGGAGGGGGGTGATCTCGGGCGTCAGCAGCCTGCACGCCCGTCCTTGACTCCATAGCAAAACCAGACGGTCGACATGTTGACTGACGTACCTGTGTCGTCCCCGTCACGAAGTAAACTGTTTGATTCGACATTGTTGGCGCTAAGCCGTGCCACTGACTTTGATGTGGATGTTATCGAGATGGAGATTCAATAGAAATAGGGAGAGATAGAGATACTGTGGCGATGGCGATGATGGCGGTTCAAAGTCAGCGCTACGCCGTCGAACTTGAACTTCAAAACAGCAGAGAACATCCAGGTGGCGAGAACGTTGGCAATACGCGGCCTGTTGATCTGATTGACTGATTGATGGGCTCTGGTCTGCTTCGGTCGTCCTCCAAGGTAACCATGTCCTAGTATGAGTATGAATATGAAGTATTTGTACTCCGTATTTGTAGCCCTGCTTGCCTTGCGTACCCCGCATTTAGATCTCGTATGCCACCCCTTCCAACTCCGCAATGGCTTGCTCGTGTACGAATCGTGGTGGAGGTGGAGATGGAAGAAGACGAAAGTATCCCCGCTGCTGGATCCGAAGTGCGTCCGGGTCGGGGTGCTCTTCGGCTGCTACGATGGCACTGTACCCTCTATCAAGTGCGAGAGAAGACCGCCACGGGTCGACAAGGGCAAGGCTGAATGGGAGTGCGACGGTGGCAGGGCCGCCTCAACTGTGTCAGTCACTCTACTGCCACTTCATACAATAATTGTTCACTACCAGTAGGGTGCTCCGACTATCCTGCGGACCCCACAAGCTCTTCTTGTGCACCGCCTGTCTGTCCTCGACGCCTCGCTTCTCTGATTGATCTTTCAAGCCCTCCGCCATTGTAGTCGGTCGATATACGCGCCGGGTGGAGCCGAATCGTCACAGTCTTGGTACCACCATCGCCGAGCCGTCGCGCCGATGTATAGTCAGTCACAAGGATCCCTTCTTCATCCGGCATTCCATCAGGCTTTGGCGGTGGAGTATTTCCATCCCTGGAAGTCGTTCTCCAGGCTTCGGTTCAAGGTGTTGACATATTCGACCATACCTCCGGACCTGCACCGAGTTAGGATCGTCCATGCGTCCATCATTCAAGAGGGTTACGGGACGAGATTGACGTACCAGTTCAGAGGCTCGACCTTTCGTCCTGGGATGTTAGCACCTTGGTACCAACTCTTTGCCAGGGGGAAAAGCGAGGCATCCCACTTCTCGGCCAACCGCTTTCCCCAGTCGTCTTCACTTTCCTTTGTGGATTCTAGTCTTGTAATGTCCTTCTCCTTTATCAGTTTGAACACCTTCTCCACCCACTCAGCTTGGAATTGCGTGCAGCTGGGACCGGAGCTGAAGGCAGTCGGTGCTTGAGGTCCGTACAAGAAGAACATCTAAAAATCTCGCTTTAGCGCATGTCAAGGGTTGGCAGGCAAATGGGCGAACTCACGTTAGGGAACTCGGGCAAGGCGATACCCATTGACGTCTTCGTACCATCTTTCCAGTGGTCGGCGACGGTGCCGCCTTTGGTGCCTTGGATGTTGAGTTGAGCCAGCGAACCCGTCACCGAATCGAACCCGGTTGCGAGGATAATGACATCCACCTCAACGAGACCCTGCTTGGTCCGGATACCAGTTGCAGTGACTTCCTCGATCGGGTTTTCGTTGACATCTATGAGCTTGACGTTGGGCTGATCGACCACTTCATAGAACCTCTGCTCCAAAGACGGCCGCTTGGTCCCCCATGGATGTGGCGGGACCTCGGGCGCCAGGAGCCGTTGCTTTTCAGGATCTGTCAGACGCTTCAGGACCTGCTTGCGCCAGAAGTCGTAGGCCTCCTTGTTAGCCTTGAGATCGAAGAGCATGTCTTTGTAGGTTGCGAGCCAGAACTTGAAGCCGCCATCCTCAACCATGAGCTTGTGGTACGTCTTCTCTCGCTCTTCGGGCGCGTCGTCGAAGGTGTTTTTCTCCATAAAGTCGTAGGTGAAGCCGGCAAAGGTGTGGCGGGTCTTCTCCATTTGCTCCTCGTACCATCCGTTCTTCTTCTTCTCTTCTTCCTCTTTGGGGTCGAGCTGGCGTTGGTTCATGGGCAGACACAGATTGGGCGTTCTGAGGTATACGGTCAACTCCTTCACCACGGGGCCAATCTCTTGAATGATCTGGATGCCGGAAGCTCCCGTGCCGACCTCGGCAACGCGCTTTCCCTTGAGGTTGACTCCATGCTGAGGCCAGACGGCCGAGTGATAGATATCACCCTTGAAGTTTCCGAGACCCTGAAAGGGGGGCGTATATCGTTTGCTGGCAAAGCCAATGCAGGGGATGAACCATCGTGCGTAAATCTCGGTGCCATCGGCACACTCGACTAGCCATTGATGGCGACTCTCGTCGAAGACGGCGCTGTCAACGTGCTTGTTGAAGGATGTATAATCTCGAACGTTCCACTTCTTTTCTACGTAGTTGAAGTATTCACGCAGCTCTTGCCACCCGGGGTATCGATCCTTGAAGGTAAAGTCTTCCCACAGCTCCTTGTCGAAGAGTTGGTAAATGGGCGAATCGGTGTCGACACGCGCCCCAGGATAACAGTTCCAATACCAGATACCGCCGGCGGCACCACCCTTCTCGAAGATGCGAACCTTGTAGTCCAGCTTGCGTAGACTGTGAGTCGACAGTTAGAATGGAGCTCGTGGCCAACAATCGCGGCCTTACTAACCGATTCAGCAGCGTGAAAGAGGCGAAGCCTGCTCCCACGAGTAGGACATCAACTTCCTCGATCTGGTGAGAGCCCATAGTGCCAACAGTCTAGAGGCGTACGTGGTTTCTCGATTACACGTGACGGACGCAGGATGAAAGGTAAAGGCGGGTATGAGGTAGAAACGCGAGTTGGACAAGGGCGATCCGCGAGGATTTTATCTCTGTGTTCTTATACCCCGCGACCCCAGGCTGACTGACCTCCAGACGGAGAGTGAGGGTGTCGATCCGCATCTTCCACAGACTGGCAAGGAGCCGATGAGGGGTTGAAAGCGGGCCAAAGGGGACCTCGATATTGACATCGAGCGACACCCAATGATCCCCGGACTTTGTAGGTGAGGATGACAACATCTGGCCCGGGCGAAAGACGGCCGCGAGCTGTGGTTCGCAGGAAGGATAGGGAATTAGTCCCTGACTCGAACGCGTCTGTCGAGGGGATGCGGTGCATGTGAATGGCCAAGAGGATGGAGACTGCGAGCGTCAGTGCGAGTGTGGGGAAATGGTGTTTGTCCCGGATCCGGTGGCAACTCGTGCCATCGTCGTGGAGAGGGACGAGTGAGGGACGAGTGAGGGACGAGTGAGAGACGGACGACGTGGACATCTTGACCTGTTCCTCGGCTCACTCGGTGTAATGGTCCCGAGGAGATGGACGGAGGATTCGCTGCGAACCTCAGGAACGACAGCCTCAGCATACGCGACGACCGGATTTTCGAGAACACGGCACCGGGTCTACGAGTTACCCAGTAGACTGCGTCTCGGAAGGACCAGGTGGGTGTCATTGATGGTGAGATTTCCCCGCAAGTTTCACCGCGCCCTCGCCGCCCTCTGTTTCACAGTAGTGCGGCAGTGTACTCAGTACTATGTATTAGCTGCTCCTAATCGCCCTTTTCGAGAAGGGTGTCATCTCTGGACACGTCGAGTTTCGCGACCCTCTCCCTCGTATCCAGCCAAACAAGGTCCAAAACAAGATTTCTGCCTTCGTGTTTCTCCGCAGTCTAATCGAGGCCACCACGCCACCAACAGCCCGGCTCCGCATCCGAGGCTGCGGAAGGATCTTCACGACCAATTCGAGTCTCGTCCCTACGGTGGGCGACGCATGAGACCATCAAAAGCCCTGGAAGCCTTTGGAGGTAGGACTCGGAGAAATGGACATTCCACATTCAGACGTCAACGTGTACACATGGACCGAGGTCGGCGTCGACCTCCATGACTATGCATAGCTGGATTCCCCAAACAGGTATCCCGGAGCCTTCTCAAACACCGAATTATGTCCACAGCCTTCGGACTTGGGGGAGTCTAATTAACTGCTATGATCCACACACCGGCGTTGTTGGCCGCCATCGTCCTTGAGCTTCATCGAGAACCACTATTCCCCCCACAGTAGACGCCTATCCCTGGCCGAGTGAGCCTCATCGACCATTGTGCCGAATTCATTGCCCATTAACTTCGAGACATGGTCCTTTCACTGCTGTTAGATTGCTCCTCTTCCTGCTGTGTCTCGTGCAGACCCGTGGTATACTCCTTCCCTTTCTCCGTTTGTTTTGTCTTCGCTTCCGAGCTCAGACTTTCTTCCAGCCGCTGGAAGAATCGTTCCAGCAACCATTCGGCTTCCTCCTTGTCGCCCATTAGTGGACTCTGTGCTCCTATCCAGCTCCACTTGGTGACCTGAACATCATCGTCGTCGCCTCCTCTTCCACCGGTATAGGCGCCTCCTTGCCTACCCATATCATCCCGTCTTCGCTCGTCGGCTCCCGGTTGGCCACCTGGTTGATTATTGTTCTCCTCGACTTGATGGGCTTCTCTTTCCTCTTCGGCATGAGTGGGCGCTTTCCTGTGGTACGTCGCGTCATCCTCATTCTCTCCGAGCAGTTTGAGGAAGTACTGCCACTCCCCGTAGCTGTACTTCTTGGGTGTTGCCGCCTGAGCATCGGCGTACACTCTGCGAAGCTGTGAGATCAAGACATGACGGTAATGATGTTCGTCCTGCTCCCATTTCTCGCCTTTGCTCCTGGCGGCGTCCTCATCCTTCTTCTCGGTCTCCTCAAAATCGGCAGCCAGACGGTCTTCAGTCTTTCGGTCCTTTTCAGGCTGCCTTTGCTTCTTTCGACTGTTGCCGAACACCCGGGCCAAACCAGGATGCATTTCACGGAATCCCGACTCATCTTCGCTGTCGTTACCTGATTTCTCTATATCTCCAGCCGTCTTTCGGAGATCCAGTTGGCCGAGGGTCGCTCTGTACACGCCGTGCTTGAGGCGGTTGCTCAAGGTGTCTTCGTCGCTAGGTAGCACAGTGATCTCACCGAGCCAGATTGTGACGTCCTTCACAGCTTTGATGACCGTATCTCCCATGTCGGAGATCAGGATCGTCAGCGTTGGAACCGCCAATAATGACCAGAAGACGAAGAATGGTTTGCCGCTGTTGCTCATGGGCTGAAAATCTCCATATCCAATGGTCAACAATGTGGTGTACGAGAAGTATAGCGATTCGAAATAGCTCCATTCTTGGTTCTTTTCGGCGTGTTCAAAGACCAGAGCGCCAATTGTCCACTGTTCCCCTGTCAGCTTCAGACTCCATGGGCATGCTCTGGTGAACCTACCAGGAATGCAAACGCAAACGTCGACACTCCCAGACTCATATACTTTCGCTGGGTGGCTGCCCATGCCTGGACTTTGCGCATGGCTTCGAACTCGGCCTGTCTCCTCTCTAGCTCGGACATTTCGCCTTCGCCCGGATCCACCGTCAACGCTCTGGTGGTATCCTGCTCCAAGCCCATCGCACCCTTTCTCCTCAACAGGCGCTTTTTCTTGCTGATCTTCTGGATCTCATTGAGCAGTCGCACCCTTGTCTTTTCTGTCAGTCGGGCCGCTATTTTCTTCTTCCCTCTCTCCAAAATAAGACTGCGGATACTCCCAACCACCAAACCCAGGATGATAATCCCGCCCATCGCGAAAGGAAACAACAAGCCTCTGCCCAAATGCGTGCTCGGCGTGTATTCGCCGCCAATTCCAATGGTCAAACTCGTGAAATCCGCCCAGTACACCGCATCCAAGAACTTCCAACCCTCAATATGCGAATAGGTCAACGCCCCAAGCAATAAGTAGACCAAGAAAGCGATTGTCTGCAACATCAATGTCCTCTGTGCCACCGTCAATTTGAACTCTTTCGAGTAGTGTCCCTTGTAAGCGCCGTACACAGTCACACACATCAAGTAAGATATGATCTGGTAAAGGCCGGCGGCAAAGATGGCGTAGTAGTACGCTTGCGTCAAGGCTTGAGCTTTCACGCCTTTGTGGAAGGATCCGGAGCTTGAAGCGTAGGTGATCAAGCCGATCAACAAGACGGAGGCAATCCAAAAGCCAAGAATCGTGATCGGTTGGGCCACTCGAAATGGTACGCGTCGGCCCATGTTTAGCAGAAGTGCCGCATTGGCAACAAGTGCCATGGTAAGGGAGACGGCATTGACGGCGATGAGCCTGGCCACAGTTGCTCGTTAGCATATGTGCTTCCTGTTTGTCCGTCTCCGTTCACCTCGTCGTGATGTGACCTCACCACTCTCTTGGTTCGCTACTCTTCGGCTCCGACGCATCGGAACTGGTTGCACCTACCAACGTGGATCCTTGATGTCAATGCCATGCTCTTCTGTGCCTCCAGGCGGGATCTTGACCCTCCAGTTCTCCACCAACGCACAGATACTGAATGCATTTGCCATCGGTCCGAAAGTACCTGCGATAAGCGGGATGCCCGTACTCGCGTACCACCATCGCGCTGGCATGAGGAAGTTTCTCTCTTGTTCTTCTTCTGACATCTTGTCGTAGGTATCCTCCAGCGTTTTGGGCGAGTCCTCGTTGAAGTAGGGATTTTGACCCGCGTTTTCAGCTGTCTGGGCATTGTGGTGGGCCGAAGGAGGGTTGTCTTCGATATGTTCCTTAACCACAGCGGACGCGTCCGAGATGGGTTCGTCGAGCCCAGGGTCGTTCATGTTGAAGGGTAGGAGATGTTCACGCGAGGAGGGCCAGGAGAATGAGGCGAGGATGTACTGGTGACCAGTAGAGATATACGAAGAGAGGCAAAGGTCTCAACGTCTCAACGTCTCATTTCTTGGGGAATCATGATCCTCGTGCTGTACCTGCTGTGCAATACTCAAAGCATGCATCTAGGTCCGTTGAAAATTGCAGCCTTCTCATGGCCGTTGTGGAAGGCATGGGATATTGCAGAGGGTTGAGAAAGCATGTTTACCTCGGAGAATATGCAAGTTGCATTCTTAAGTCAGCATGCGTTTCCTTCAAATAGCGATCCTGGACGCAACGATCGCGCTCTCGTTGATTGGGGGTTAACTGCTCCCACTATGGGCAACGATAATGGTGAAGTGACGTAACTTAGTTAAAGGCCAACGCCGGGTGACGCCCACCCAGACACCCACCTACCCGCAAGCAAGGCCGCTAGGTGGTTGGGTGGTTGGGTGGTGGCCCCAGGAAAGCCAATCAAGCTCTGAAGGGCCCCACAAAGCCACCGAAATCTTGGCTAATCCTAGTGTCTTGCAACCCTTCCTATGCCTGAAGAAGCACCGGAAGGTTCTCACTCGTGCCTCGAGAGGATGTCTTGCATGTGGCGCATCCACCACATATCAGCATTGATGACGTTAGGAGACAGCGTGATAGCGCCAATTTCACCAGTGGCACTCATCCAAGGGGTTATAAGCCAAGGATCCGTTTTGAAACGACAGTCCGCTTCCTCAGGCTCCCGGCCACGAAGGCATCCCTATCTTATTGTTGCAGGGGAGCAACATACACGCTCCCACAGAAACTCTGCGCATGCGAAAGTTGATCAGGCGATAGCCAGCTGCCGTCTCTGTTTGGCCACTTCCGCATATCGCAGCACGGCAACTTCCCACGTCTGCTGCCATGCTTCTAGGAGCTCTTCGTTGAAGAAGAACTTCTGCACGGCCTTTTTCACCCACTTCCAGTTCCTGGCAGAAGGCGAACCTTCAATGGTCTTGTCAAGGAGTACATCCCGAGGTCGTTGCGATTCATCACTGTTGCAGCTTTCACCTGCCGATGATGCAGGACTGGCAACGCTTCCATCGACAGGACGGGGAGGCCCTGCTATAACCAATGCCAACCACATGGTGCATTCAGCCGGCAACGACTGAAGATCGTATCGAAACAACATTTCGGACAGCGTTTCAATCATCCGTCGGTGAACGGGGTTCTGCTGCTTGGTCTTGTTGAATGTCTCGGTTGTCACAGTTGCAATGGCAGCGCAAATCGCCCTCTCCAGTACATCGAGCCCACGGAGAGGGACCAACTCGAGACACATATGAGTCTGCCTCAAATACGTGCCATTGGGTTCTCCGAGCGGCAGAACATTCTTCTTTCGGCCAAATTGCATTTGGCTAACCCATTCTGACACGTTTGATAAGAGCGCAATTATCTGAAGACTGAGTGTGGCTGACAGGGCTAGTTCACGGAACCCATCAGGAAGTTTCGCGATCGTGACGCAGAGCTCCGGAGGAAAGGGATGTTTCGGGTATTCGAGTTTGATATGGGTTTCAGTTGTCGCAATGCTGAGTTTCTTATTTTCGTGGTAGGCCCAGAGAGATTCCAGCCTTTTGAGCAAGTCAGTCATGGTATTGGAAGGAGTCATTGATCGTTCAAACAAAGCTCGCAGCGGAGATAGCTTAGTATGAGGGATTACATACCCAGTGATGGAATTTTTGATGAAGCCACCCCAGCCTAAAGAGTCTACCCCCCCGCGCATGTCGACCAGGTGCCGCAGCCCTGTCAGGTGCGTTTCGAAGGACCGGAAGTCACCATATATCAACTGAGCAAGCATCAGCATGGGCACCCTATCATGGTCGAGGGACGTACTGCGATTCCCAACAATGCCATCACAGAAAGGATGGTAGCATCGTCATCACAGGCTGAGCTCTTGGCCATTCTCAGGCGCAGCGCTTCAATGCCTTTGCCATAGTGAACCAGGACTTCTCGTGTGGGTCCCCGGGCGTTGCCCTGCCGGGCATCGAAAGAGGCTCGAGAAAGAGCGACCATCAGCTCGAACATCGAAGCGTTCTCCAGCGCGAGCCCAAAGTACTTTCGTGAGAGCGGTAAGCTATCTGCTGGCCCTAGGTGGTCCTTCCTAGGATTAATGTGGACAGGGGCATAATGCTGGAGGAAATAATCGACCGCCGAGAGAACGTTGGTGTCTGCAGATATCGGAAACGCGCAGAAAGGGTCGCCGCGGAGCCCGCCGGATGTGACTGTTGATCGGGGGGATATTGCGATGGCGGTACTTGTAAGTTGAGCGTCGAGTCCAGCCTCGGTCGTTTTAATTACGGGCACAAGGCTATGCCTTGCATCATCGTCGTGGTTTCCAGGTGGTGTGAGGACATGTTCACGACGTTTGCCAATGTTTGCCTTTGCTCTCCTGATAGCCTGGTTGTGTAGCCGATTGCGTTGTCTGGGGTTTGTTGGATTTACGGCTACTGGGAAAGGTTGAACGTCTTTCGCAAGTTCACCCGGATGCGGATTTGTTGGCTGCATGTGGTATGGGAAAAGGGCACCGGACGCTCAATGTCCTCCTGAGTGGCAACCCACTCGTCCATAGCGCCCACCGCCTGTGATAGAGAGTGTGGTGTGTGTGAAGAGTTGGAGAATACTTCAAGGAGAGTGAGTCGAAGCGGCGAGGCGAATGGCCCTTGGAAGCGGGTGAAATCCAAACGAGGCAGGTGAAGCCGATCTTTGTCAGCTTCCGGCCAGGGAGTTTGGCGAGACTGGCCCTGGTAATCCGTAGTGGTACTCCGTACTATTACACATTGGAATCAGGACGATCCTTAAAGACGTCTCTCAAGGCTACTCCGTAGGAGGTAGAAATTGAGTGAGGACACGTTTGGGGTTCTCGCGCTCAAGTTCTCCTGTAAGGGTTGGATGTGTGAGGTCCCAAGACTGCCATGGGAAAGGTTCAAGCTAGGCTTTATGCCGGATCGTCAGTACTAAAGGTAGCATGATCGGCGTCTGGTCGTTCCTTGGGCAGATGCCCATCGTGGTCGGCACACAAACATGGAAAATCACCAACTATGTGAACAAAAGCCTGTACATTTGAAAACACTATGACAAGTGGGGAGAGAACCAGAGCAATTCTAAGATGCCGAGAAGTGGCTGGAAAGTACCGTAAATGCCGAAGCAAGTAAGAAACGCCTACTCTGGTAGAGAACGAGTATTGTTATTATTGATGAGCCTGCTAAACTCGAGTGTGGTATGAAGTACTCGATTGCACGATCTGTGTTCTCTCGCTCCTCGTTCCTGGAATCTGTCGGCGTGTACTCGTACGAGCGACGGACAGTGCGATGTCACGGCTCGGGAAATCAATAATCCAGGAAGTGATGGAAACTGCAGCTCAAGCTCATCTTGCGTCAAATTGCGCGGTAGTGTTTGAGCCATGGCGGCCTGCGTCGTTTCAACCTGTCAGATCTACTGTACGGCACAACGAGGAATACTCCGCTGGCTGTGTATGAGGTGTTCGGTACTCGAATGCTCTGGGGATGCCAGACATTCGCCTGCAGATATAAAACGGGGCTGGATTTTGAATTCTAGATTGGATCTAACAGAGTTATATTGGCTGCCAAGCGAACGTGTTTAAATGGCGGGCTGCTATCTCCAGCGGCGGTGGGCTGTTTCGTTGCCCTGTAACAACTGTGGCTACCCGCTTTAAACAGCCTTTCCCCGACGCCTCCAGGCCTCTCGAATCGGCAGAAATCACGGAGCTGGGTTCCAGAAGATCAGCCGCGAACAAACCAATGTCCACACCGGACTCCACCCCAAAGTCCTTAGCTTAAGCGGGATTGTGGGCTGCTAAGAGACATGCAGCTGCACCTGCCCGGTTTCTCGTGAAGGGTGATGCGACGACTGCGCCTCGTCGCTTGGTCTGTCCAACACCTGCCTCGTTCCCACCTTCATGGATTAGCCGGTATCTCATTTCCATCTTCACATTTTCGTGCTGGGTAATCAACGGTGGCATGGTGACTCTTTCCCGCCGCTGCACCACCCTCACCTGCGACGTCGACCTCGATGCCCGCCTCCGGTCTCACTCGTCCTTGCGCCTTTGCGCCGCCGACCAACTAAACGAGACGGACCACGACCGCTGAGTACACGATGCTCAGGCCCGCGACTCCGCTGACGGTTCTGCTTTTCATCTCGTTCGTTTTCCTCCTGCTGTCGGTCCTGTCGACTCCCGTCATCCACGCAATTCCTATCGCAACCTATCAAGGAGTGAATTTTGGCGTATTTGGCTACTGTACGCCGTCAGAATGCAGTGGGATCAGAGTGGGATATACCACGGGTAACCCTCCCGTGACTGAGATGCCAAATTATCCCATTGACCATTTGTAGACGGCCTCTTCCCACAAGGAGACACAGACTTCAACCTGCCGTCTAGTGCCCGACACTCCCTCTCCTCCCTCCTCATCGTCCATCCTGTCGCCGCATTTCTGAACCTGGTCTGCCTTGCTCTCGCTGCCGCCGCTCACCTACACTCACCCTCGCACTCCGCACGTTATCTCCTGGGACTTCTCATCCTCCTGCTGCCAACCTTGCTTGTCACGCTGCTGGCTTTCCTAGTTGACATATTGCTGTTTGTGCCGCATCTGCAGTGGGCAGGATGGATTGTTCTCGCTTCTACCATCATCATAGCAGCATCCGGCGTCGTCACATGTGCCATGCGAAGAACATTGGTGTCTCGGAAAGCCCGCAAGAAGAGGATCGCTGAAAATGCCGAGATGAGTGGAGAGAACTTCTACAATCGACAGACTCAGGAGTCCAAGGGCCTTACCCAGACTTTTACCAATGAGCCCACAATGCCCGTGGTGAATGGTGCTCCCGGAGCAGATAGGTTACCCACATTCGCGACCTTCAATGCCAGCCAGAAATCGGACGAAGAGCGACAACCACTGAGGGCGCAGGCACTGTCTAACGAAACAACCCTGACCCCTTCTACCCGCGATGGCGCCTCCGAAAGATATTATGGCGGACCTCCATCCCGTTCCAGTAGCCAACCACCGCAGTTCCGACCACGAGACCAATTCGGAAATCCTCCGCCGCCCATGCCAGGCCCAGATGGCACGGTGATGCCTATGCAAGGCAGAAGGTCAGGCGAAGAGCCGACTCCTCCCAGCCCATATCGTGACAGGAGCGCCCCTCCACCTGGAAGCCGGGGTTATCCACCCCGCGGGAGAGGCGGTTACCCGCCTCGTGGTGGCTATCCGGCCCGAGGGGGTTTTGGCCCCAGAGGTCCCCCTCCGCCGCAAGGCTATCCTGGAAGAGGCGGATTCTCATCAGATATGAGAGGGGGATACAATCCGCGTGGTAGAGGCGGATATTACCCCGGAGCCACTGTGGGCGCGGTCGGCGCGGGCATGGCGGCTGGAGCTATGATGGCTGGTGGTCCAAGACGCCCGCCGCCTGGATATCCGCCAAATGGACCGGATGGCGAGAGGATTACTCCCCCAGAGGAGTTCCCTGTGGCTATGGGTCCACCCTTGCCCATAGACGCTTCTCAACAATACATTGACGACAACGAGAGGCGATTCGATGCGAGAAGCCCCTCAGTCTATACTCAACCAGACGAAGGGCCATATGGTGCTAGAGCACAATCTCCAGCAAGAGAAAGAGCGTCGCCGTATGGAAGCCGTGTCCACTCACCGTCTGGCACCATCCGCAGACCTTCACCACCTCCAGCCGTGCCTCCGTTGCCTGTAAACCAAGCCTATGAACTCGCTGGTACTCCGGCCGGAGACTGGAATCCTCGCCGGTCACAAAGTCAAGATCCGTAAGTTCATTGTTGCCTGAGACAAATTCTGTTGCTGACAACCTAGGTACATGCCGCCTCGCGCCAACTGGAACGGAGCCGCACCCGATAATATGGGGCAACCAAGGTCGCCTGGAGGATATGGTCCGCCACCCGTCGACGTAGGGACCCACAGCAATCACCCGCAGAGGCCGCGCGTGAACTCAGGAGGCAGCGACATCTATTATGAGGACGTTGATCCCCGGTTCGCTTCTGACCCGGCACCTCCAGTGCCGCCGGTGCCACAAAATCCAGAAGTGCACAATCGACATCCTGCACCTCCCGCACTGCTTGTGCCTGGGCCCACCGGCCAATATCGACCGGAAGCATACGGCGAAATTCCTCATACCAATTCTTACGAGGAACTGCCCGGCGCCCGATCGCCAGCCGAAAGCGAGGCAAGCAACTTCACGTCTGTCAGTCAACGTGGCGTCAATCCTAACTGGAGACCCGGCAATATGGGAGAGTTCAGCTCCTTGGGACCGATGAGAAAGCGAGACAACCAGATGCGACAGGACATGCTCCTTGCCGGCAATCCGGACTTCGAATTGCCCGGAGCGATGGCCCCGTCACGGCTACCAATGCGTGGCCGCAGTGGGCCGGGCATGAGAGGCGGTATGATGGGTGGACGAGGAGTACCTCGCATTCCGCCAGCCAGTGCTGTTGGCACAGGGGTCGACGGTCCATATCCCAGTCCACTGGGCCAGCCTATGCCGGGAGGACCCATGGGGCCTCCTCCGTCTGGGCCAAGTCCAGGTCCTGGCATGGGCGGAATGAGGGAGATTTGAAGCATATAAAAGACCAAACGTCTTGAATTACGTCCAGTACAGTACAGTCTAATAATGTCTGATACGACACGCCAGTTGGCGGTATTCTACAATGTGAAGCAATGATTGAATGATGCATGACAACTCTCTCGCTCTTTCGCTACTCTCGATTGTTGCAGGACCTTCGAACTTGGCTGAGCATCTATAATTCTTGGAAGCTATCTCTTGCTTCCCTAGCCTTGTTTATTACAGTCACACATTTATTTCTTTCAGTGCCTGGAACATCGGATCTACCGTCCGCCAGAGTAGTATGAGAGCCGACAAACATCTACTTCTGGAGCAGGCACCGTGCCTCCAGCCCGATCGAATCCTCCAATATATGTACAGCGCTTCACTGGGCCCGACACTCGCCCCTCAACGTCAGCGTGTACTCGAGTCAACGTTAGGATACGGTATTAGACTCTAGAATCTCGCTTGAACGCTATATCTATCCATATATAAATGACTGGTCAAGGTTACTGGGAGGGTTCCCCCCCCTGCATCATCAATCAGATCGTGATCCTCCCATCGTTGGACCTTCCGCCGAAAAGTCCTAGGATGTTGTTCCCGCTTGAGGCGCCTCCGCTTCCACTGCCGCTCTGCTGTCCTGCCGTCGACTGATCGCCGGGCCCGCCCAGCCACTTTGGTGTTTTGAAGCCTCCTCCGCCGGCACCACCTTGCATCCATTTCGGCGTGTCGATGGTGTCAAACGTGTTCTTCATCCTCCGCCCGAACAAGGTGAAGAAATTCTCTTCTTCAGGTTCGGGATCAAGGGCCGGTCTATCTCTAAACCTCCCGCCCGCTGTCGCTGAGCTCGCTCCTTGACCTCGCGCCGAAGGCGGGACCGACCTACTGGGAGCGACCCTCGGTCGTGAGGTGTCTAACGACGTCCGTGGAGAATCTGTGATGCCCAAGTTACTCGCACCAGCGGGCCGATGACCTTGCAAATCTCTCGCAATCAGATCCCTGCCTTCTCGCCATCCTCCTGTGCCGAAACCCGAAGGATTGTCCTCTTCGTCCTCTTCGATCTCGATGAATCCGAAGCCCAGTACGTTCTTGATCTTGCCGTATAGATTAAATAACGTCATGGTCACTGGGATGAGAATGAAGATAGGAAACAGGTAATCAAACCACGTCCCCAGCGGTGTTAGATTGATCAACCTGCCCAAGAAATCGTAGAAGGTCGAATTCTGATGAATATCCTTGGGAAGGAAAGTCAGGAAGTTGTAAGCGAGTGGTACGGTGAGTTTCGCAATCTGTCCGGCGTACCAGCACGCGGATTCAGCATAGGTGTTGCGTTTGACCAAGGCGCGCTGGTTCCAGGTGGGAACGTCATTCATCGAGGAGAGGGCGCACACACACATGTACGTTATCCATAGTGAGGCGATGAGTTGGCCGCCAAAGCCGATCTGATAGTTCTTATCAGAAGGGCGGTGGATTACTGTGAGGCTGACGGCGGACAGATGTGGAGCCGGGAATTTAATGATTTCAGACCAGAGGATTGAGACGGAGGCGAGAGAGAAGACGCCACCAAGAGCGACCCTCAAAGCAGGGACAATGTGAACGTGGAGGTGATAGCGCATCGTCGGGGTCATAACGGGGAAGCTGTAACCGGAAGAGGCGGTTCGACCGAAATCAAGTTTCTTGGAGGCTTTGGAGTCGAGGATGGCCTGGAGGTCTGATGCGCTTTGGACGATGTGGTCCCATTCGCGGATGTACCTTGCTCGTCGGTGTTTGGCTCGAATGAGTCGCCGGCTCAAGTCGGCCATGTACCTCTCCGTAATGACAGCAGGGACTTTATTCGACGCGTCTGTGGTTGTCACATTCGAGAAGACGCGGTTCTCGGGCTGGCCAGTTACATCGACCAATTCGTCAATCCATTCTTGGAAATCTCTGGCGCTCCCTGTTTTCCTCTGCTTCAGCTGCATCACCTGCGCCTCCAGCTCATCGAGCGCAACGATGGCATCCTCGAGCTTCTCATGGATCCTCGGGGCTTGACCCTGTACCCGACGCAGGCTACCACTAATGTCTGCTTTGCGGAAGATCCCCCTTGGAATCGCGACAAGTCCGTGACCCATCAGGTAGATGGCAAGAGCCAGACCCCACACGTAGGCCAGCGCCATGACCAAAGCTCTGATGGCGGTGAAATCGAAGCCATACGAGAAGATCATGTACACCAAGCCGGCGATGGCGCAGGAGAGGACGATGAGCTGGTACCGGCCGTTCGATCGGAGGGAGTAGATCATGCGAGCCTTGGGCTCGCGATATCCGGCGTCCATGTATTCTCCCAGTAACGGCAATACCACCCATGTCAAGACAAAAGTCAACCAGTAGACAATTCTCCACGAGACCAAGACAGCTCTTTTCGGCAGCCATATCCCCTTGCCACCATGATCGCTCTCTCGCGCACTCGAGGCGAGGTCGATGGGGACTAGTATAAGGGCGCTCGTGGGCAGGACCAATGCCAGGAAGATCGGCACGAGGAGGAAGGCGGGCGTTGTTCGTAGTGGAAGATAGTGCCGTAGGACAAATAGGACGCCAACTGAGATGGTCAAAAGAGCCAGACAGGCAAACACGTCGGAGCCCACCGAGGATGCCATGTCTGTCGCTTCCAGAGGCGTATGCACACCGATGGTCTCGATAACCTAAGCACTGCTCATATCATCGCTCATGTCGGCGCATGGACCTGCGCATCGAGTAATCCCGAAGAACGAGCGCACTATCTTTCTGCCGACGTTGAAAGGTCCAATGGATGATCTGAAGTGGCAAGCACAACGAGAAAGGCAACGGTACAACAAGGGGTAACGATTACGCAGAAGGAGCAGGCGAGCACCACGAGCGGCACTGAGATCATGCGGTGTATGATACACAATGGGTGAACCGGTGAAAGTTGGATAGAGGCACGCACCTATGGAGGGTTCGGCAGCGCTACGGCGAATCTGGCTTAGGGGCCTTCTTAGGTAAAGGTGGCACCCCCAGCTGTGGCACTGCAGGCACCTGGTCTGCCCATCTGCCCGCTGTGGAGCGGACTTCCGGCGGCCTCGTTCGGCTGCGCTGTCACGCTGTACACCTCAGCCTTGGTCAACGCTGGCTCTTTTGTGATGGAAAAGGCTGCCGTGTCGTTTGCAAAAGGAAATCGTAGCTGACTTCGCGGCATATGCCTGATACACCAGTCAGATGGACCCAAGACAGCAAAGGACACGGCTTTGCCTGGCGAACCCTTGGTCTTCCGCCCTGATTGAGTGGGTTCAGGGAAGTTCCACTGGCCAGTCACGACCAGTGCTGCACACCTCAGCCTAACGCTTCACTCTTAGCAGTTTTAGTTTGGCGAATGTGTCCCGCACACTAGCTGTTTGGTTGGCGCGCTGATCGCTGATCTGGCTAAGTCATCCTCGCTTCATTGCTCACTGGCACCCTCGTCACCTGCGACAGGCGACTTTTCTCTCTGTTGCCCTCATCAGAGGAGTCTCTCTTGCGCTCCCCTCTGGCGGGCACCATATACGCTATCTCGACGTTCTCTTCTTTGCCAGCTACTGACACCCATATCTTCCCCCGCTTTGTTCCTCGGTGTCCTGTGGGTTGGCCTGGATTCCTCCACGACGCGCCAGGTTGGCGCCCAATTACAGCTCACGTCCGCTCGTTGCAGCATCAGGCGCTGCTGCACCGGCCTCTCTCGAACTAGTGGTCAGCCTCGAATCAACCAGTATTTCGTGTTTCGACATCTCATTCTCGCCGCACCCAAAGATTCCCTCCGCCTTTCTCCTCCCTCCGTCCCTTCCTGCTACATGGCCCGGGCAAGCGAGAAGTGAGATTCCTGTCTCCTTCATCTCTCGATCGCATCACGACCGCTGTGTCACCAGCCCAAGTGTCAAACTCCCACCACGACCCAGACTGGTCCTCGGGTTCCTTTTATTTGTGTCACCCAGCCTTGGAGCCTTGACCGAGATCTCGCCTTCCCTCGATCTCCCTCTGCCGACCGCTGCTCACTTCCACCTCACGAGTCTTCTTCGACTCCTGTCTCCCCTACGTCCGAATGCGTTAAACTCGACTCCCCTATATGAGCGTGTCCTCGCTCGCAACTCCCCGCTTCAGCCATGAATCCGAACCAGTTCCAGAATATGGCGGGAATGGGTCGAGGCATGCCCAACAACATGCAGCAACAGATGGCCATGGCGAATCAGATGGGCGGTCAAATGGCGGCTCAAATGGGTGGCCAGATGGGCCAGATGAATCTCATGGGTGGGCACATGGGTGGGGGCATGGGCAGACCGATGCCTCCCCAGGCGGCCGGACAGATGAGCCTCAACCATCCCTCGGTGCAGCAGTATATCTTCGACCAGCTCAATTCTCAAGGTCCTTTTGCGGGCTGGCAGGCTAACGTCCACATCCGTGAACGAGCCGGCCAGATCAAGTTGCTTGTCGACTCCCTACGCCTGGTGAGGCCGCCGGTCGAGCTTACCCGTGCGATAGAGGTCGCCCTCCAGTTCGAGCGGAAGTGCTTCACTCAGTCTTTAAGCCGAGAAGACTATGTCCGCGAGTGCAGTGAGAAATTGGGTCGAATCCGTGACCAGCGTGCGCAGCAGATGAACCAGTCTGCTGCTGGTGTCATGCAAGGCATGCAGGGCATGCAAATCCCCAACCAGAACTTCATGCCCCAGATGCAAGCGAATCAGCAAATGCAAAATGGCATGGGCCTGCCACCGCACCTCCAGCAACAAATGCAGCAGGGAATGCGCAGCTCGCCTGTCTTCAACCAGCCTCAGCCCATGATGAATCAAGCCCAGCCTGCGGCAACTCCAAATCAGGCAATGGCTAACATGATGCCGGGTAACAACCAGCAGAAGCAGACCCAGCTACCTGAATTGACTCCGGAAGACAACAAAGCCATCAATCTTCGCGCGGCAGAGCTGGCTAAAAGCACTGCCAAGGAGGAGATGCGGAACATCGTCGAAAAGATGAACCCCCAACTGCGGCAGAACCTCGCTCAGAAGGCCGTCGATCCTATAATCTACTACTTCCGGATGCTTGCGACTAAAGAGTTCCGCAGGCGTAAACAGATGGAGGCAGGCATGGGCGGTGGCCAAATGGGACAGATGCAAAATCAGTCAACCCAGAATCCAATGGCTCAGGGCATGACCGCGAATGCAAACCCGTTGATGAATGATATGGGCCGCTTCCAGGAGCAGCAGGCTGGGGGGTTGAGGTCTCAGGAAACCGGCGAGCTGGTGGTCCCAGCCAGCAGTACTCCCGGCATGATGTCAGAACAGATGCGTCTTCAGCAACAGATGTTGGCGCAGCAGCGGATGGGCCAGCAGAACCAAGCTAATAACATGAATCCGGCTTTCATTGCCCAACAGCAGCGCATACAACAAGCGCAGGCAACAAAGATGCACCAGGCTCAACTACAGGCACAGAACCAAGCACAGGCTCAAGCTCGTGCTCAAGCCGCCGCCGCCGCTGCCCAGCGTGGTCAGATGCAAGGCATGCAAGGCTCCAACACACCACTCTCCGCCATCAACCGACCCGTCAATCCTAATGTCTCTGGAGCCAGTCCACAGACAATTCCTCGCCCCGGCTCAGGAACCCCTATGATGAACCAGCAGATGCAGCAGATGAACAACGCGGCGCAGCAAGGCCAAAGCCAGCAGCAACTCCAGCTCAACATGCAGGAGATGCAGAAGCGCGAGCAAGCCCTGGCCAGTTTTCCTGCACCTCTCCAGGCTCTTCTTCGACAAAAGCCGCAGAGCGAGTGGCGTGCCGTGCTGCAACAATTCCAACAAAGTGGTCAGATGAGAAGAAGCCTTTCGCAACAAACACCGGGAATGCAACCAGGGCAGCCGCCACAACAAGGGCCGATGGCACATTTGCAGAATGGGGCGTTTGTGGGTGGTGCGAATGCCGGTGCACAGCCTATGACGCAGTCGCTCTCAGCGGGAGCAGGTTCACAGCAAGGTCAAGACATGAGCGGCCTCGCGCCAGTAAACCAGGCACAGGCACAGCAAAACGCCCAGGAGATGATGAGGCAACGTCAAATCCAAATGCAACAGCAACAAAAGCAACAGCAACAGCAGGGACAGCCCCAACAGGGACTTCCCAATGTTCCGAGTCAATCTCAGCCGCGTCAGCAGTTGACCGCGCCCCAAATGAAGTTGATGGACCAGCAAGGAGTGCCGCCTACGGTTTTGAATAGTATTCGGCAGAAAGCGGCTCTGCCTGAGGTCAAGACGTGGTATCAGCTGAAGAACTGGTTGCTCGCAAATCCGATTGAAAACTGGCCTGTGGCTCATGTGTTGGACATTCAAGCTACACATTTCCAGCATATCATGAAAAATCGAACCCAGAACCTGCAACAGCAACAGCAAGTCCAGCAGCAAAAACAGCAGCAGCAGCCTCCAAATAACACGATGGTCAACCAAGCGCCAATTCCACAGTCGCAGCAGAGACCACAGGCTCCTATGCCAGGTATCCCTGGTCAGGCTCCAGGGCTGTCTCCAGGGCAGATCCCTTTCAGATCTCCATCTGCTGAGGACATCGCGAAAGTGCGCGCTGCTAACCCGAGGGTTGCCAACATGCCGGACGAACAAATCAGAGCTCTGCTCATTACCAGGCATCGGCAAATGCAACAAAAGGCGATGCAACAAGCTGGTCAGCAGGGCATGCCTCCGCAGATGCAGTTCATGCCACCGCAAGCGGGCCAACCCAATCCGCCTGGCCAGCAATTTGGGATGCAAGTGCCGGGGCAAAATCAAGTGCCACAATTGAATATGCAGGGCCAGCAGCACTCTCGGCCACCGTCTGGCCAAGCACCAGGACAGCCTCGACCATCGCAAGTTCCCTTACAACCGGAGAACAAAGCACTAAAACGACCCAGCGACGATGATGTGATTGAAATGCCAAATCAAAACGCTCAAGCTCAGCCACAAGCGCCTGGAAACAGGCCGTCGGCTTTCCAAGCTCTTACCAAGGAGCAGTTCAGTGCGCTGGATCCTCAAAAGAAACAGCAATACATGAACATGCAGCGTCAACATGCTCAGCAAGCCATCGCAAAGAGGATTATTGAACTCCAAAGGGAGGTTCAAGCCACCATGCCAAAGCCCCGACCGATCACCAACATGGATGCGAACAGCAGGAAACGAATCACGGATCTACTGATGTCTAATAATGTTAAGAACATGCTCGGTCGATTTGAATCCTTCCTTCTAGCATTCTTCCGTATGAAGCAGGATGAAGCTACAATCAAGCAGTTGATTCTGCAAAGAATGCAGCTACACCAGCAATACAAACAGGTCGCGCTGCAAAACAAGATTTTTGAGCCAGCAGACCACTTCAGTATAACTGCTGATAATGCAGAAGCCATTGTCAGTAACATTACCACGAAATTCCAACAGACGGCAGCGCAGATACCCAACAACAAAGGGCCACAACGACCAGCCCAACTCACCCCTGAGAATCTCAGTTTGCTGGAGGCACAAGAAAAAGAACGAAAGCTGTCTCTTAAGACAAACCAAGCTCCACCTGCTCCAACATCCACTCAACCTCCCTTTCAGATTGGCGATCCAAGAGGGCAAGGCACGCCGAGATACGCGACCCCAGGGCTCAAGCAAGAGGATCTCAAGCTCCCTACTGACACCAAGAGGCGGAAAAAGAATCAGCAGCAGACTCCGGCTGCTCCCACTCCTGTTGCCACGTCTCCGCAAGCAACCAAGACACTCAAGCCGGCTGAAATGTTTAAATGCCCCGTCAATGGTTGCGAGCACCAACTCAAAGGATTTGCCACTCAAGGAGAACTCGACCAACATCACAATGTTGCCCACAAGCTCGATATGGAGCCTGTCACGGATCCTCTTGCCTTCCTCCACGAATCCCTGCGTACCGCGTTCAACCTGGATGAGAACCTGAAGCAAATCAAGAAGCCAAAGACAGAAGGCAAAGCCGGAGGTGCGAGCAACATTAAGAATGAAAACTCGGCAGCCACTCCGGTGCCCATGTCTAAGGTTCCCAGCCAGGGCGCATCGGGCCCCATATCTGCTCAAGGCGGCGACGTGAAGATGGAGGATGCCGACGGTCCTTGGAGCCACAGTAACATTACACTCGATCAACTTCGCATTGCGTTTGGTGGCGATGACTGGGACGAACTCTTCCCTTCCGACGACAGGGTCTACGAGCAGCAGTCTAAGTTCTACGAAGCTTACCGGAATACAAGCGAGCGGTGGCGGAAGATAGTGGAGGGTCCTAATGGCGCATTGACCGACACGTCCACTGAAAAGTCTAAAAGCCCCGAGGTTGCGAGCGACAAGGAAGGGTCGGCGACAGCCGCTGTTGGTGGAAGCGAGGCCAAGGAAGGTTCGCAGGACAAAGGCAAAGGCGAAGACGATTCGTGGCATATCAATCTCGACCGCATCGAAGGTCTCGACCTCAGCGGTTTTGACGAGTTGTCCCCATTCGAAAACATTGGTGATCGCGACATCATAATGGGCGATTCTCCTTTTGAGTCTGTCGAGAAGCCGCAGTTGACGACTGGGGAGCTGCATTTCCAGGCTATGGGCGGCGACCTTCACCATCCGGAAACCTGGACGGAGGAACAGAAATCGCTGGCGGAGTTCCTGATCGACAGCAATGTGTGAGCGCGCCTGTGTACTCGCACACCAGTCAACGCATGGTTGGATCCCTTTTGGCTAGGTTTACCACTACTTCACCATTTTACGTCGTGTCAGTTAATGCGAAACGCGGACATGCTTGGAGAAAGGGTTGATTTTCAGGATGGCGTTTTCCGGGACATGTGTGTTCAGGGCTGGTCGAATGAACGGACATGCTTTTCGCGAACGGGAGGGATGTGTAGTCAGGCAACGGAAGCCTTGTCTATACTGTATTGGGCCGGAGCTGGTCAGGTGGTTGGGTTGGGTTACTTGACAATATGCATGCGTCTACTTGGGATTGTGATCGCATTTCGGGTACGTGGGTGCTCAGGAAAGGATGCGATGTGGAGGAACGATGATGATGATATACCCCTGAAAAGTGATGTTCTTGGGAATGGGTTTTCGACCGGTTGTCCCCCCTGCGGCTTGCACGCCTGCCATCTTGTGAGCGTTGTTGGCAACCTTTTTAAGTACTTCGCATCTTTCGAATCGAGACAGACCACTTGTTAGTATGTTGGCCTAGTTATTCAACTTTCTCTGTGATGGCATGCCGTGGCGTGGCGTGGCATTTTCAAGCAGTCATACTGTTTTTACTCATTGTTCCAATCCCTCATTACAGTATTCGAGTATCCGAGGGCTTCATCAACACGGCGGAGTTAGGGTGCACTTTCAGAGACGATGACAGTTGTGCTACCCAAGGAAAAATCATTGTCATCGCCGCCGCCGCCGTCGTCCTTGAAAAGACCGTAACTCAAAGCTTACGAAAGCCTGGCATTTCTCTGTAAAGGTTACGTGTCCTCCGTACCGTGCTGGGGTATCCTCATCGTAAAAGTGTATATGCCTAAGTATCTAAGATACTCCGTACGCTGGCCGCGGCGCAAGGTAATGTACAGTACGGCGTCGCTTCCTGGTGACACGACGCAACATTTGCTATCCTGCTCAGTGTAAACTTCTCACCTATGTGCGCCTTGTGTCCAAGACATGAGAGGCTTGTTCCACAGGCGATGAGCAGATGAGCCGTCCCAATGATGATGGCGATGGCGTCATCACAATCAGAGTATAGGAGATGGATAGATATACAAGTAGCATGATACATAGTATGACGTGTCCAAAACCGTCGTGAGGAGCCTATTGATGTCCTCAGTAACCCGCTGTTCAATCGTCGAGATCGTCGTCGTCGTCATAGCTTTCTCCGCGTCCAGTGTACCGCGCAGCGTCTGTGCCTTCGAAGTAATCGATGCCGAGCAGTCTTAGCTCCTCGATCTTCTTGTTGCCGACGCTGACGGATTCGAAACCGTCCGGTAGGGGAACTCCTGCCCTGTTGGACATGTTTGTTAGCGTCATGTAAAATACACCCCGGTTGGGGCACAGACAACAATAACCCCGGACATTGGGGTTGCCATGCAGACTACATCTTTTCTGGGGTGAGTGTCGACTTACTTCAGCATGTCCAACTTGATATTCCGGGCCTTGTCCTTCAGCTGCACTTGGCTTCTCCCCTGCAACACTGGCCCATCCGGGTGGACACTGTCTTCTCGGAGAATCCTCGCCCACTTGGTGCCGTAAAGGGCAATCATGTCCAGCAAGCGGTCAACTTCCTCGGGGCTATAAGCTCTGCGTATCTGCGCCGGCCGTCTGTTCTGCTGCAGTTCGCGTGCCATTCGTACCATGTCTTTTGCTAGTTGATTGACTTGTCGGGCTTCCGTGCTGGGGGGTATCTGTGATGCAGAAGGGAGACGGGAAGTGGCCTGTCCTTGGCTCGACGGTGCAAGGTCTCGAGATGGCGCATCTGACGAAACACGACTTGTTCTTCCATCAGATCGAGCTGGTGCGCTCGAAGATGGCAGGTCTCGGCTTCCTGAACGGATTGTTCGAAGAGGCGCTCGACTGGAAGAGGGTCCGTGGTTGCTTGACCGTTCCGGCTGTGATGAGGATAAGACTGTCGTTCGGGACGGTTCTGGCGATGCCATACGTTCTCTACGTGCAGGCCTTGGATGTCCATCGCGTGGGAGAGAGAGCAAAGGTTGCGCTTGCTTCCTATGGTTACTCTCCTGTTCCTCTTCATCATCCTCTGCGTCTTGGGGTCCTGGCCGGGTTGAAGACACCGCCGGGCTCTTCTCCACAACCATCCGGGGTTTCTTCGTATTTCTTGTGTCCGTCTCAAATTCATCGTCTTCGCCGGATTCCGACTCAACCTGATGGATTGTACGCTTTGGCGATGGCCGCCTTGGTGGGTAGATTTCTCCATCATCAGGGAATTCATCATCCCACTCGAGTCTCTCTGCACCTTCTTGTCGATCGAGGAAGGATGCCTTCTTCACCGTCCCATGCACATTTTCCTTGTTGCTCTGCTGCCTTTGTCGATGGAGGGTTTCCAATAATTCTTTCGTCTGCTGCGTTGGGAGTATTTCTTCATCGGCTCCATCATCTTGGGCATCATCTTGGGCATCATCTTGTATTCGATTGGCACCTTCTTCTGCGGTGGGAAGCTCCTCCTCGCCTATACCCGCAACCCGGTAGTCATCAGGAATCGTCGGTGTCGGCGAACGAAGGACCTCAGGGTCGGAATTGGAGTCACTCCGCGTGTCCGCATCTGCGTCCTCGTCGGATACTTGAGGCGCATACAGGGCTTTGAGAGCTTTCAGTCTTTCCATGTTAGACTTGAGAGACTCTCCTGCTGACGTTTCACCCACTGGGATCTGTGCGGCGCCCGTCGGCCTGGTGCCGGCAGTCTCCAAAGCCTCGGCCTCGAGGCCATTTCCTTGGTTGTTGAGTTTCTGGCTGTTCACCTGCCCAGTCGTAGCGCCTGCATCTTCCCGAGCATCAATTTGCGCCAGATCGCCGTGCCCACCTCGATCCTCGGGGTTCCGTTCGGTTTCATTATCCTCCATGGTTTGCTCCTGGTCAACCTGAAGTTGATCGACAGCGAAATCCCCAGCGTCGAGAAGGTCGACGAGCTTTTCTATGCCACCTCTCGCATCGACAAATTCTTCCAGCTCCTTCCCAACAGCCAGAGTCCATCTGACGGCCTTGACGGCGAAATCTGACCAAGGGAAATGATCCTTGAGGCCGGCGAAATCGACGCTGTCGGGTGGATCCCCAAGGAAGTATGCTCTTATAAACTCGCATCGGTCCAGGGCCTTCAGTCTGCTGGGTTGGTGGGTAGAGCCTTTCACCTGGCCAGCTTCGTCGAAAAAGACCGCAGTCAGGCTTGTCTCTGGATCAAATGCAATGTGGCCTTGTTCGAGTTCGAGCATCTGGAGGTAGACTTGCGTGTGCATTTCCACCAACAAGTCGCACATACCGTGGTAAGTTTCGGGACTAGGTTGAAAGTACTGGAGATCTACGAACTGTTGCGGAAAGTTGAAGAACATATCCTCAAGGTAGGAGCGCCGCACTTCAACAGATGGATTTAATACGTTGACAATTTGTAATGCGAGATTTGCAAGGTAGAGGACAGCATCCGGTCGCCAAGCGCCGTTGGGGATTGCATCGGTTTCGCCCATGCCCAAAATTTTTCGAAGAATCAGGTCTGGCTGGATAAAGTCGAAGTCCGCCCCATCGTGAGTCGTACCATAATTCTCTCGTGTCAGCAAAAAGCGTTTCGACTGGGCGTGGAAGCGTTTGTGGAGTCGAGGGGCTGGTTGCACAGAAGTCTCGCACATCTCGCGTAGCTGTTCATCACTGGCAATCCCAAGCAACGACATCAGGCTGGTTGAGTCATGGTACAACCCGGAGAGATTGTCGATGATCGTATCCCGGTCCAGTGCATCCAGGACTTCCTGCAGGGACGAGCTTCCGGAACTTGCACCATGCGAAGAAAAGCCATCACATACATTACGGGATTGGGCTGGTGCCACTTCCTCTGAACCCTCGTTGACGGCCGGAAGGACGGTCGTGACGTTCTGCAAGTCTCGTTGTGCTGCGGTGATATCGTGACTTGCTGATCGCGTTCTCCGTCTATTTTGAACTGACGCGTCTGCAGCAACCACGGGCGACGGAGCCTTCGGAGGAGAAAGAGGTGTGTTCTTCCTGCTGGTGGACCGTAGTCGGCTTGGAGGTGCCATGACAGCGTCGCGAACAGAACAATGAGATGAATGCGCCGTGGCCTAGGGTTACTGCTAGGGTTAGTCAACCCTAACTAAAGCTGCAGTTGATGAGAAGGTGAAGGTGGAGTGAAAGTTGATTGTTTGCGGGGCGCCGCGTCTGCAGCGTCTATTCGACGGTAGCCCGATTGGGCCTAGCCCACGACCCACACTGCAAGCGACTCAGCCGTCGGTCTCTCTTCTTCCATTTTGCAGTCACTGCCTGTCCTCGTACATGCGTAACTCATTGGGTGCTCGACTTTCGTAACTTGATCATGTGAAGAACGACAGCTCATCGACAAAACCACGAGCTTCTTGCAAAGCTGATCCTTCGAGAACAATGGCAGTCTTTGTGCGACCGGAAGGTATACTGGGTGGACGCCCCAGCCTGCGTCGAGCGCAATGTTTCTCAGCGTCCTGATCTGCTGTAACATTCACAGCCACAATCAAACTGTCCCTACCGGGTCCTAGTATGCACGGAACATTTCTGGAATGCAGATACATGAGGGCTAGCTGCCTTCGGTAAATCTTCCTCCATCTCCACGCGGTTCGGGGTGTGCTTGCGGGGGTCGCAGCGTGCAAGCATTCGTCGATCATGCTTGTGCTCCGCCACGTTCTCTCGCTTGCAATTCCTCAATGCAACAATGACTCCTGCTCCAGACCAGATGACTTGGGTACAGCCCAGGATCTAGCCTCTATTGTGCTTTTGGGTTGCTGATCACAATAGCTATGATCCTAGAGTGGCAGCATCCACCCTATCATCATCAAGGCTGAACCGCGCTTCTGATGTCTATTGTGATAGATTGGCAGACGAGCGACGTTATCTACGAGAAGCTGTTGCGCTATTAAACCCCAGCAAGCCTCCCTTCGATCTCAAGTGACAACCAGCCTGGCAAGCTTGCATATACGGCCGAAGCTCATCCTCTCACAATGTCTCGCCGCGAATCGGTTGGCCGGTTGAGAGCGGCATCTCAGTCCGAGTCCGCATCACCTTCTGTCAGGATGGTATCCTGCGCTGTTCTCCCTCCTCGCCTACCACCCGGGATGGCTCCACCTACCAACATCGGAGCATCTGGGGCCATTGGATTCGACGAAGCACTCAACTGGCAACACAACGACTCTGTCCAAGAGCAAGACACCAGTCGACGGAAGAGCTTGTTCCGCAAAGTCGGCATCACCACTCAGCGCAAAAGAGCCAACGCGGAGGACGACCTGCCACCGTTCGTGATGCGCCAGATTCCCTACGATACATGGCGAAAGCACTATGCAAAAGACAAGGACGGAAACTATCGGGGCACTCATGCTCCCGCGGAGGACTGTCTTCTCAAACCGGAAGACGTCCAGAAATGGCGACTCGGGGACGCCGTGACGAAAGCGGATCAATGGACTCGAGGCAGAGAAGCCCTGCCCGTCTATTCCGAGGTTCGCGCAGAGGGCGCGGTCCCCGAGTATCAAGTTGACAACCACGGCTCCTCCCAGTCCGCAGCGACCCACGAGACTATCTTGACGCCCGAAGAAGGTCGCTTGGCTGAATACTTCGACGTGACCGAGACGCCGTTGCAGCCGCAGCCACACTCGTCTGCGGGCCCTCCACCACAGAACCCGGCTGCCGCAGTGGCATCGCTGGAGGGAGCCGTGCAGCCACGTGGAGGATCAATCATCGCCGATGGGAAAACGGCCGACGAAATCATCAGGGAAGCTCAGGCCAAGGGCAAACAGAAGTTGACCTGGAAACAGAAACTGTCAAAAGGCTTCCAACAAACCATGGCATCGTCCACGGCGATGATGGGCTAAAACAGCGGCCAAAGCGGCATATTTATTCAGCCATTCGGCACACTACTGGGAAACAATCGATCGTCCTACCCAAGCCCTGTTCCTAGGATTTTCCAGCGACGATGCCGTTGATGATGATGTGAAGCGCATGCAGGGGGCAATGCTCGATCCTCGAATCAGCACCAGTCTACCAGATGTACTGGGTGTGTACGTTTTACTCAATGAACCTGAATTTATGACCATGGACAAGGCAGTCGATTGCAATTCTGTGAACGGTGTAAATCTTGATCAGGACGTCTCCCGCATTCAAAACTTTGTGACTTCTCCCTCCAAGGGGACTCTTCGGCGTGTGCTACTAGTAATTTGACAAGCAAATGCCATAAATATCCCTTGCAATCCTGCCCCTAGCGCATAATCCAGGATTGTGACGTCGAAAAGATCGTGGCCAGCCATGCCATGTACGCCAAAACCATCGTTTGGAGCCTCTGCTCGGACTTCAATCTTGCAAATGCCAAACCCGACTAAGCGGCAGGAGAAGACACCGATATCAGCCCCACGACGCCGGGCCGCATGAAAGTGAAGTGAATATTCGGCCCCATGATACCGCGTACTTCCTGTGGGCTGGCACCGCCGGGCGGCATCTCAGACCTTGACGTACCCCTGCCTCTTTGTGCCTCACCTCCGCATCCTCGTGCACGGGTCAAGGTCTCCGGCGGCAACGCGCTCGTCCTCACCTCCGCCTCTGCGAGTAATCCATTTCGTATCTCTTCGTCTTCCCATCTCAACTGCACAAGCCATCAAAGTAAGACAGACAAATGAAACCCTGCGCATGAGCGTGACTGACACCGTGAAGGGTAGCTGTGACTGATCGGCAGCAGTCAAAATAGCGCCAACGAGCACAATGTCTCAGACTTCAGGACCAGCCGCGCCGTCTTACGAATCCCGCACTTCGAAAGCGATTGATCCGCATCGTATTAGCCTTTCCATGGACACAAAAACAGCAGTGACGATTGAAGATGATGGCTCCTCAGCCCGTGTGCACGACGACAACGCAGCTGAATCACGCAGCGTCGCAAACTCGAGACCTCGAAGCAAGACAGCCAGGCAGAGAGAAGATGACATGGCGCACGGGACCAGGGACTTGATAGACAGGACGCTCGCCGATCTAGAAGGGCAGTTGGCCGACTTGAAGGACCACCAAGCGAGACGGGGTCAAGAAATCACAAACCTCACACTCAGTTTCGAGGAGATGGGCAAGGGTCTAGCCCGGCTCCAGGCCCAGTTCGAAACACTCCAGTCTCAGATCGGCGAGCTGGAGTGCGAATCCGAAGTGCTCCATCTCGCGGTCTTGGAGCTTCGCTGGCTGAGGGCAGAGAATCCTCGCCAAGAAGAGCAAGGAGGCATTGGCCCATGAAGACGACGAGCACGATGAAAATGGTCCAGTTATCAACATCTTCCGGTGGAGACATTTTCAAGCGGAGCCAACCCTATGTGGAACGGTCCAAGCGACAAAGATCAGGTGGTAATGACAACGAGGGAACCGGGTTGCGGAGACGACATGAAGAGTAGGTGGATACTGTTGCTGGATGAGTCATGGCAATCAGGATTCTTGATCCAGCCATTCGGAAGGATTGCAGGTTGGAAGACTGGATGACAACACAATGGTCCAGATGCTGGAGCCGGAGAGCGCAAGACGAAGACCTTTCTGTGCCTGAAGCTGATCACACATTCGGCAAGTACCGTAGCATGATAAGTCGGCTTCCAGTGGCTAGAGTCGGACGATACAGCTGAGATTCCAAGCGAAACGATGGCAGCAGACCAAGTACACCTTTCTCCACAAGGCATGCAGTGACCGAGGGGTGGGGTGTCGACGTACTTTGGTCATGACACAAGCTTCACGATGCTCATGAGCCTCCTGCCATGATAGCGTTGGATAGGCACAACCAGGAATGGCTGGGAGTGGTTTTTCTGGTGTCCAGTGGATTGCTGTGAGGGAGTAGGACCAGTGTGTGAAAGACAAGGCGCTCGAGTATCGTAATCATAAGAGACCATGGACATTCCATCAAGCATTGTCCCACAACTGGTGCCACTATGTCTTGATTTTGCTTTTCGCATCCACCTTTCTCTGCCTGTCTGTGCTGTTGCAGAGGTTTGCCCTCGAGGCTGCGGTGTACTTGAAAGCAGAACATTGGTGACGGACAATGTTCGAGGGTCAACCAGTTGTTGCATTCGCCCGACGGGTCAAACCGGTAGGGACAGCGAACCCGGACATGAAAGTGAGCACTTTGCAACTAGCCTGGGAAGTGAAGGCTCATCCTCCGAGCAAACCTGCCAGGCACCCAGCCAGGCGGTGTTCCTTGTCCTCGGATTGAAGGTGACCGTGGAATTGCTGTCGAAGCAAACCTTGCATTGAGGATCCATAATTTGCCTCCAGCCTGAACTTCGACGGTGAACTGAAGGCGGACCGTTGGATTGACTGCGGGGCGCTGGACATCTCGCACAGCGAAGCAAGGTACACGAGCCCCTTTCGCACAGCAAGATGATATGCCTTCCAAGTATGCAAGCCCAGATCCAACGATGCCTTTTGCAGGATGCCCAACAGAGCCTGGCCTCTTCTTGTGTTTTAATCAGCAACCATGTCGTTGGCCATCGTCTTCTGCACTCAGACGACCGTTCCTGATTTCCAGCACAACTCATCATTCCCAGCATATCGGGACTTGTTGGAAAACGAATGACCCTGCGTGATCCGCACATAGCATCAGACTGTTTCCTCCTCCGTGCAGCCAGCGGGCCCTGACGCACAGAATGGACACCCCTAGGACTGTGGCAGACTGGGATATTGTACAGCCACGGTGGTCCACGGTCTCCGGACATCTAGGTGTAATGTCCGGACCTTTTTCTGCTTCACCTCGTCGTCCTCATGGACAAACGGCCAATAAGGCGAAAGCGAGTGCGCATGCGGGTCCGTCATGGTTAAATCTTCAGCGTCTGTAAATCGCTGCCCGACCCTCCCAGATGAAATCTCAATCAGACCTGACACTTCATCCCTTTCTTTGTCGTGACTTTATCCAGCGAATGACCAAGGGTTAACAAGATCCAAACACAATGGCGGACCAGGTTGGCTTTAGAATTCCAGAATCGGTATGTGGTGCTTGTGGCTGCTGTCAGAACGAATGTGCTGATGCAGATGGCCCAGATTCTTGCCGGTGTCATGTTGAGCAATGAACTGTCAATCTCGGATGGCAGCTTCCTTGCAAGGCTCTTCCTTCGTCTGCCTGCAGAGCTCTGGTACACGCTCCTATCATTCACCGACTATCGTACCTTGGTGCTCCTGGCATTGTCCTGCAAGAGAATGGCCGTTGTCGTGATCAACACTCAGGCCTTCCGATTTGCAGCTGCTACTGAGGAAGCGGAGCATGCGAAACTCGGTCATTATGAGTATCTCGTGCAAAAGGCGTACTTGAACTTGAGGATTGTCCGATCCAAGCTCCACTGCAGCCACCACTTGTGTCCCTTCTACATGAAGCCAATTTGGGCGTGGTCGAAGAACGTCCGGCGCACAGCAGAGAGGTTGATGGAGGAACAGAAGAAGAAGAATTTGGAAGCGAAAATGTTAGAGGACGGTCAGGACGACAAGGCCCTTCAGCATGAGGGGGAAAAGTGCGAGATGTCCAGAGTTCGGATCCGCACCCAGACCGACAATCAAATCCACAACCAACTCCAGCGACTCTTTCAGCTCGGGTTATTCAAGCGTTGAACAGAGCCCCTTCAAGGAAGAGGTTTGGTGGGGGAGAATTCGACTGGACGATGCGAAAGACCTGTGGCGACTTCCATGCAGTTGTTGTTGGGATGTCTCTCAGCATGTCAGATGCTAGTTCCAATAGTCGGATCGGTCAGTCAGGAAGTGCAATGTTGCTTGTCAGGGTACGATATTGGTCGCTGAAGAATTGCTGCGAGACCAGGGCGATCTCCATTGGGACGGATCGATGTTATGTTGGATGATGAGTCTGCCCGTTGATTCTCGGCTTAGCGGACGCTCTCGGTCCCTCCGGGTATGAGTGGCAGCACCATCAGTCCCGTCCAATGGGTTGCAGAAAACCAGGTCAAACATTCAGAAACTGAGTAGACGTCCGATGAATCGTCCGAGTTCGTCAATTTGGTTGAATACGATCCATCGGTTTCATTTCTTCTTCGTCAGATTCGCTCGTGCTGCTGTTCTGAAGATGCTAACAGTTCCTTCTCGCTCCTTGTCCATGGCTTTGAGCCTCAACATCTCGACGACATCTGGGGCATCGTCCTGAGTATTACCGCTCAGAGGCGCTGTCTTTCGGCGCCGCTTGACGTCGCCACGTCCATACACCACAGTCCATTCTTCCACGTCTCGATCCACGGTCACACCGGCACAAATCTTGGCATGCGCTCCGACCGTAACGTTTGCGAGGATAGTTACATGAGGCTCAATCAGCACACTGTCCTTGATCGTGGCTCCGGCATGCACCTGGGAACTGGGATGCATGTAGACATTTGAGCCAATTGTGGTCTTGACAGGATCCTGCTCGTCATCATCTCCTTCGCCCGGCTGACCGAGTAATGGAGTTGGTGGATTGCTCCCACCCGCAGCGGCCTTTGAACTTGGATCTGTAGTCGATGCGCCCGGGACAGGCCCGCCAATTACGCACTTCTCGGAAATGATACACTTGTCACTAATTGAAAGCGGACCATGGATCGCAATGAGCTGGGCTCGTGGATGTACTAAAATGTGTTCGCCTAGAGTGATTGCGTGTGTGCCACGGACATAGGCCCCAGGATCGAGATGTGTATTCTGTCCTAGCGTTACCGGGGGCCTGCTGGATGCTTGCGATGTTGATGGCGCAGCTGGGGCACTCATTCTGTTTTCCACCTGTCAACAAACTCATCTAATAGAGCAAAGTGAGAGCAGACTGAGGGTGATTTGAAGTTTAAATGAGGTTTAAAGCGGAGCAAACGCGTCCCAAATTAGGAGAATGACGCGAAATGATTGGCTGGATCCAGACTGCTCAACTTCGTTCCTCACTCAGTCAACATCTCGAAATGCCGCCTGCTCGAGGCCGAAACTCGAGCTGTAACAACAGAAAATGTCGTACTACGATGTAGACGCCATTTTGACTGACTCACAGAAGCTGCCTTGTACGTTTGAGCTCGACGTGCCTGGGCTGGGGTACATTGAGGGTAATGCTGGTGGAACGGTCAGTCAATCCACATTTGATTACAGCCGAGACCACAGCAGAACTGATCAGCCGCTGGTGTCCAGGTGAAAGCCGGCACGAAGATTGATCTACCCATGTGGTTGGGTATCATGCTCGCAGTGTCTACTGGGTAAGCTTAACACCGGGACATCCACGCCCTCATGGTGCGAATATCAAAGTCATTCATGGGCTGCACAAAGATAATGGCTGATTCGCTCCCATCCACAAGGAACTCTCCAGGCTCTCCTCGTTTAGTTACCTTGGATTTTCCGGTGCCTCTCCAGCAGCGGGTCATCAATGCTCTGAAGGCAGACCCAAAAACGATCGATCTACGCGCCCAAGCACCGCATTTCTATGCTCTCAGCGCACGAATCATGGAGTTGTTCGATGACCGTGCAGTGCTAGATACCCTGTTGGATGTGAGTATTCTCCACAGTGTTCGGCCTTTTTTGCTTGAGAGATTGCGGTTCAATTCACGCAATTTCATATTAATGCAACGGTGCGGACCAGACATTCAAAGAGCGGGCAGCTGAGATTGCGGATCAAGCGCACAACCCTAGAGGCGCCATGGGAGACGGCGCAGAATTCCTCAGGGGCCTGGATGAGAACGAGCGGCAGCTGTTTAAAGCAGCACACGAGGGTCCTAAAGCTGTGAGAGCGTGGACGCAGGATTTGAAGAAGAATACATGATTGAAGTTGTGTTGTTGTTGATATGGCTCATGAGGAATGACACGCTTGTACGCAACAATGACGACGTTACAGCAGAGTGAGGTGCAAACCCAAGACCCCCTGGGTTCGAGTTGACTTAGCCGACACCACCAGCGGCCTCCTTGACCTTCGTGTGCTCCGGAGGCTCATCCACAAACTGCGGCGGCGCAACTTCGTCCTGCAAGAACCCGGGCGTGCTTTCGCCAATACCCATCTCTTGTTCAAACATCATATCCTCGCCGAGTGCTTCGAGCTCAGCGTCCAGTTCTGCCTCATCAACGTCCTCCGGCACATCGTAAGCGCGACTTATGCTCTCGTTGATTTCATTGCCAATTTCCATCAGATCCGCCATCTCATCTTGCATTTGCTCGATCTTGTCGATGTTGATCTTGCCGTACTGCTGTTTCAACGCTTTGTTGGTCGTTTTTATGGCATCGACGGTGGTCATAACATTCTTCAGGTTGTCCTGCATCATTCCCGCTTGCTCCATGTTCCATGACTGCTGCTGCAGCTGCGCTCTCTGATTTTCATACATTTTGCGCTGTTGCAGGACTTTCAGAGCCTTTTGTTTAATCGCCTGCTTCCCTGGACCCTCGCGCATCTTGGAGAGCTTTTGCTGGTAGGTGGAAAGTTCAGCATTGATCTTGGCGAGCTTGACATCGACCGAATCAATTCTACTATCGACCTATTGTGGTGTTAGTAGTGCTTGACCCGGAACAGGTGGGAGACGTGCATTCTGGATTGCGTTGTTGAGATTAGGCTTTGGCGCCGTATTCTTTGACCCGAACAGGCGATTCATCTTCGAAAGAGTCTCCTGCCAGGTGCGCTAGTCTTCGTTGGAGTCAGCGTCGGTGGTTGTGTTCGTATGTGTGATGGTTCGGAGGGGCAGCTCGAGCAGTGGTCTGAAGTCGATTCTGCCTGCGTCCCACGCAACCGAGGTTTATCCGCCCTCATTACCGTGCACTGGGTCAAATCACTTACGAGGTGCCTTCATCTCACCTTGGTTTGCTAGCTACTGCCCGTAGAGACTCGGTGCGCAATATGTTGCCTTTTAGCAGCGGCCGCCTTGCAGCGGCATACATCGCCTTGAGTGCGCTCTTGACACTTGTACCAGCGGTATTGACAGCGGTTGCCAGACTCCAAAGCGTGTCCGCGCCTAGATGTCCAGGGGCCGCGTCAACGCATTTTTAGTTAATAACTAAGGATCTGCATGCTCGCAAATTGTTCTCCCGCCCCTCAAGGAAGCTGCACGTGCCGCTTTACTCAATCGAGTCTCTTGCATGGAAACCGAGGGAGTGCGAGTCTAGAGCTGATGCTGGCGATAACTGTGTGTAAATGTGCAGGAGCATTCGGCACAATCAATAGCGAAAGTCGACGCCGCCGGCTGCCGGCTCCCCTGTTCGAATCTGGCCAGCCTAGGGCAGCCATGTGGCATTGGGCATGTCTGATGACGGAATAGGGCACATGGATGGTGGTGGGTGAGCGGAAGCGTGGCCGGCGCGAGGAAAAAGGGGCGCTTGTTTGTGGAGGCGCCCGGCACAAGAGCATCTGCACCGTCTGCACTGTCTGCGTTTGGTGTGCCAGCTTCGTGCCCAGTTCCCTCTGCCAAAAGTCACTTGGCCTTCTACCACCTTTTGCTCGCGCGCCTGTTTCATTCGTGGCTCCCGTAGCACCACTCCAACTATTCTTGGATGCATGTACCACAAAGTTGAAAGGCTGCAACGATACATTAATTCTACTGCTGGCTTGCACACGGCGCCCAAAAGCAGCGCAGTGACATTCCGTGCGCCAAGTTCCTCTCCTCCTGCCTCTGCCCGCCGGAACTCGAGCGAGTCACTACAGTCGTCAACCTCACCGGCACAACCTGCCTTGCTCTCGACAACAGATCCAACATTCTGCCGCGGGACCATCGACCGAGGTTCTGACTGTGCTCTCAACTTCTCTTCAGTCACTCCTTTGTAACGATAGGTAAACATGCGCCGTCGCGGACCCCAGCCGTCTCCAACACCACCGTCGGCGAGATGCGCACATTTCGATCTAGAGCGCTGACCTCTTTCTATGTTCTAGCGCTGGACCGCCCGTCTATGTCTTACTCAATATCCGATTTACGAGCTACGACTACTCACGGCTTATTATCTGACTATCATATACCCCCAAGACTGTACCATTACTAAGACCTCATCCTCCTTCCGGGCGCAACGCAAAAACACCAGCAACCATGTTTTGGCGATTTGGAGGATACTCCCAGATCTCCACCATCGATACACTCCTCGACAAGCCCAGTGTCAAGCTCGAAGACTTGCTTGAAGAGGCCGACCTCATTCAAGAACTCAAATCTCACCACACCAAGCTGATCGAATATCTACGCGATGAGACAAATCTCCACGCCCTCCTCAACTACGTGATCGCTCCGGGCCCGAAGCCAGACGTCCATGATGACGACAACGACACCGAGAAAGGCAAAGGACCGGCCACCCAGGAGGAAGATGAGCCGAAGCCCTTGGACGAGGAACAAGAGAAGGCCGAGAAAAGGAGACTGAAATATGCATTTGTCGCGTGCGAGATTCTGTCATGTGAGACATGGTCCATTACCGAGTCTTTGATGGCCAACACCCAGTATCTCGCGGACTTTTGGGACTTCCTGCGCAGACCCGCCCCATTGGATCCTCTCCAAGCCGGTTATTTCACAAAGGTAAATGAGACCTTACTCGAGAAGAAGACTGAGGATATGCTCGATTTCTTCAAGGCCTTGCCCGGTATTGTCCCCGCCATCCTGCAGCATGTCGATTGTCCCATGGTCATGGATCTGTTGTTGAAGATTATCAGTTTGGAAAAGTCAGAGGGAGGCGCCGGAATCGTGGACTGGCTCCATGGCCAGGATTTGATTCCCATGCTTCTGTCTAACTTGTCCCCGGACTGCAATGCATCAACTCAAACGTCAGCTGGAGATTTCCTGAAGGCCATCATCACAATATCAGCAAATGCTGCGCAGAACGAGCAATCCTGCATCGGCCCGAATAGCCTTACGAGGCAGCTCGTCTCGGAGAAGTGCATTCGGCAGCTGATCTCCTACATGCTTGAAGGCGGCAATCCCTTGACAGTGGGAGTTGGGATCGTCATCGAAGTCATCCGTAAGAACAACTCAGACTACGACCCCGATCAGGGTCACAGTCCCAACGCACCCCCGACCAGCCACGACCCTATCTATCTCGGTACGCTTCTCCGATTGTTCGCCCAGCATGTGCCCAACTTCATGAGCCTGATTCTGAGCTCCAAGCACACCGTCACAATTGGCGAGGAGACGAGCGTGGTAGAAAGGGGCCATCTCAGATCTGCCTGGGGGACACAGATTGAGCCTCTTGGGTTTGATCGCTTCAAAACCTGCGAGTTGATGGCAGAACTGCTGCACTGTAGCAACATGGGTCTTCTAAATGAGCGGGGAAGTGAAGAATTTATCAAAGCAAGAGATGCCGAAAGGGAGAGGCTGAGAGAGCAGGGAGCCTTCTTGTCTCCAAAGCAATCAGAAGACTCTGCTGTGGATATTTCCGCGAGCTCTTCAAGGTTCGAAAACGCCTTTACTCCATCAGCATCGACATCCACCGAGGAGCTTCGCATAGCTAATCTTAATGACGAGGACGGCTTCGAAAAAGTGGCTGTCTCAGAAGCGACGGACGCAGCTCCAATTACAAAGCATGATGCAGAAGAATCGATCTCTCCTCGACAGGCCCCAGATCAACCACAAACGCCAACGGGAAACTTGGACGAGACCGTAAGACGTCTTAGCCTGGAGGATACGGATATGAGCACCGATGACCCCGAACCGGCAACTCTGACAGTGGGCCACGGAAGCCACTCTGGAGAAATCTCCCCTCATCCCGAAGACAAACCGGAGCCTCTGTTCTCGAAGTCGGTCGATCCTAATAGAACACCAACGGCCACCAGCCCTGAGCCAGCCACGAGCCCAGCTGCGACCAAATCCCGCCCTCAATCAAGCCATTTTGAAGGTGAATCGTTCCAAACAACTCAAGATGACACAATGCACGTGTCACAATTCGAGCAGACAGTTTCTGATGATGCTCCAATTGTCGGGGATCACTTGAAAATTATGTTTGTGGAGAATAGAGTAGTTCCTACGATTCTGGTAAGCGAAGTTTTCCGAAGGGGTGAATCAACGCTAATGGTGAACAGAGCTTCTTCTTTCGCTTTCCATGGAACAACTTCCTTCACAATGTCGTTTACGATGTCGTGCAACAAGTCTTCAATGGGCCTATGGACCGGGGCCATAATAGATTTCTAGCATTTGATCTTTTTGAGACTGGCCGCATTACTGACGCCATAATTGAAGGTCAGAGACGAAGTGACGAAGAACAACAGGCCAGAAACATGCGTCTAGGATACATGGGCCACTTGACGCTGGTGGCAGAAGAGGTCGTTAAGTTCGGCGAGCGACATCCGAGAGAGTTGCTCTCGCCTACAGTTCAAGACTGCATCTACTCTCAGGCTTGGGAGGAATACGTCACCAAGACTCTGGCTGAGACGCGAGAACGAGACAACGCGATACTGGGGGGCTTCAGGCCAGATAACGGCCTTGGCCCTAGACAGGCTGTCCTCAATGCTGTCAGTTCAGGTCAAGGCTTTGGTCCTGGAAGCGCATTAGCTGGCGTTGGGCTGGGCGGTGGCCAGAATGCCCTTGACAGCATTGACCTATCAAACAACGGGAGTGCCACTAGTGCTGGATACAACTCGAGCGGGTCGCTTTCGAGCGGGTTTGGAAGTTCGTCGGATGATGATGACGAAGACATGGACGATGCAGAAGACGAAGAGCATGCACGAACAGTCAATCAGCTGTCAGCTGCTGACACCGGTCTTGCATCGGAGAACGTAAGTCGGACCAATCTAAGGCGGAGGTTGTTTATTTTTTAGGCTAATGATGCGTTGTTGCCAACAGTCTGATCAGCCAATACCTTTACTGCCACCTCCGCCAGCACCACTCAATATCGAGCCATCACGTGCTCGCCGACGGTTGGCTGACCGTCTAGCGAGACACAAGCAGGAGGCTGAGCAAGAAGTGGCTGCAGCAGAGTTCGGATCCGAAGCAGATGATCCGTTCGCTGCTCTGGGGAACAACGACGACAACGGCGCCGACCCCTTCTCACTGGATGAAGAGGAGCAGGATATCACAACGTTTGGGAAACGCAGCAACTTTACTTCCTCGAGTCAGAGTCCAGGCAACAATCACCACAGCTTTTCGGTCACCAGGGGTCTGACCAGCTTGTTTTCTCCGACGTCCAGCACACATAATCAAACCTCGCACGACGACTTTGACGGTTCACTGGACGATTCATCATCGGACGGATCTGGCTCGGATATCGACCCCGAGAATCCTCCGTTAGAAGCACGACGAAGTCTCGAGCGACGACCCCTCGAAGTCTTCGAGGACGAGGAAATGGGAGAGATGGTGGCCCCCACCGAGGAGGTCGAAAGTAATAGTTCCGACGAAGAGGTGTTAAGTCCTGCCGAGAAAGAGAAACTGGGAGGAGCCTTTGGGATGAAAGATGACGACGAGCAGGACTCGGAGTTCGCCGGACAAGCGGACCATGACGACGACGACGGAGATTTGGTTGAGATTGCGATGGGCAAGCCGTCGAAGAGGAGATCGAGGGGCTGATGTCGCCCTGTTATGTCAAGGCTCCTGCTGGCAAGAAACGGTCCGTAAGTTCGTTGCTGAACAAAGGGCAAAACTGCCGTCAGCACCAGCGTCGGACAGTTCTGCATTATCTGGCCACGAGCAAGCAAATGACCCAGTGTACAATTACCACTTCTTTGTGATACCCCATACGCTTTCGGCCACGACGTCCAGCATGGGATGGTTTTGGGCACATCTCGTCAGACGACATACAGCACGTGAAAGATGGCTTGTTTGGTTCTAATTCCCCCTTATGCGCCTGGCCAGGCTGGCCAAGCTTGCCAGACTGAACGTGATGAATAAGACGCGAAGCGAACTCTGATGCGCCACATGCCGCTCCAGAGAGACAACGGGCGCCCGTTAGAGTAAATGTGCGCATCCGACCCTGGTCGTGCCACTGGTAACCAGTCAGTACCGCGGTGGGAGCTTGCTTCTTTGACGCTTGCGGACGGCTCGAGAGCGGGGTGAATGATTGTTGCATGTGACGCGGCGTCTATCCTTCCAACTCGGCTACATTGTGTTGCTCGCCGTCTCGCCCAGGCAAGTCCTTGGGCGTGATCCCCCTCCGCCGCCTCCACTCCCAAACACCTCTGTCGACTTCATCACAGTCGACCCCGTCCGGGACGAGCCAGAACGTGACGCCCAGGTCGGTCTCCACATTGCGATTCCGTCCCTCGTCGTCGAAGAAGAGCATATCCTCAAAGGGCACTGTCCGCCCTTGCAGAGGATTCTGGTCCGACCGTGACGGTTTGGCGAGTTGCTGCTGGATCTTGCGGAAGTGAGTCGTCTTCGTGCCTGGGTAGATCTGCGGGTGGGTAAAGAAACTCCAGGCCTTGAGAGCCTTGCGGGGACCGTCCTTTGCATCACCGTCGCCCGTCGTCGTCATCGTCGTCGTAGTGCCAGGGAAAGGCACTTGCAGACCACGTAGCATCTCGGCGGCCAACGCGGGCGCGTGCGTCCGACTGGCCAGACTCATGACGATGCCCTTCTCCCGCGCGGACGCCAATATCGCGGGGACCTGCGGGTAGAAAGTGAATGACTCGCCCCATCGGTCTAGCATTTTGGTGTTGATCTGCGGGACGCCCGAGGTGTTGTCTTTGGATTGGGACGTGGTGGGCACGGCCGGTTTGACGGGGCTGGAGACGTGGGTGTCTACCCAGAAAGGCCAGAGCGTGTAGTCGAGGTCGAATACTATGAGGCTGGGCAGCGGGAGAGAATCTGTGAATGTCGAGGGAATTGGAGACTCGGTGGGGACGACATGTTGGTGAGTTTGCTTGCGCGTCGATCGAGGCATATTGTTGCCGACGGAAGAAGACTGTGCGTGGAAAATATAGATGACAGTCAAGCTTATGGTGGCGACGAGGACACGTTGAAGAGAGCGAGCGGCAGCCAGGTCAAGATCGTGGGAAAATATGAGTCAAGAAAAAGGGTGCCTGGTGGCAAGTCGACTGAACGGAGAAAATGAGAAACGAAGAACGAGGCGGCGAGGCTGTGGCTCCGATGACGTTCGGGCCGATAAGATCCAGTCACATGGAGATAAGCAGCGACGCACACTAGGATCAAGGAGTTTGAAGGAATCCAAGCAACACTCCGCCTTGCTCGCGCGCAGCTGTGCAGAAAAAATCAACTGCGCAGTCCGGAGTAATGCTCTGGACTTTCGCGCCATACGACGGAGTACGGGACGTGAAATTGTGCAGCAGAATGTATTGAGTCGGGCGAGATTGACTCGAGGCATTTGCCTACCCTCCGATCAGTACCCTCGAGCTTGAGACCATGCAGAACTAATTCTGCAATCGTACAGCCTCCCGGTAATCATCGCTTGTAGCAGCATTCGCGAGGTATATATCAATAACCACGTAGCCTGAGTCATTGCTCAATTTGCTATTATCATCGTTGTCCAAGACGGGAGAAATGAGCTAGTCCATTCTTGGCTTGTCTCCGCCGACCTGCTTATCGATAATGGCTCGACGGAAAGAAAAGGAAAGCGTCTCTTCTCGTCTCGTCTCGGTTCTCCACGGCACGCGTCACTCCTCTGTTTTCAAAAGCTCCCCTTGGCCCTTTGATCGATGAAGTGAATGATGGCGACTCCTTTCTTGACCCGGCCATGCTGATCAACCTATGCCTGCGTCTAACATCTCGCGCAAGGAGCCCTCCTTCCCATGTTACTCGCCTCCTCAGCAGAAGCATCCAGCATGCAGCCGCAGAAGTCAGTAGCAAAGAGGCTGGCCCTGCCGTGGCCATCATCGGGTCCGGCCCCGCGGGCTTCTATACTGCCCAGAAGGTGATGCGGAAGATCGCAGGGGCACGCATCGACATGTACGAGCAGCTGCCCGTGCCGTTCGGCCTGGTCAGGTTCGGTGTAGCTCCAGACCACCCAGAGGTGAAGGTCAGAATCGCATCCAGCTACCCCATTTCCGGTGCTGATCACCTTCCAGAACGTCCAAGACACCTTCCAAGACGTCGCCGCTTCCCCTAATTTTACCTTTATCGGAAACGTCAATCTGGGCCACGATCTCCCCCTTCCCCTGCTAGGCAAGCATTACGATGCGATAGTCTTTGCATACGGCGCCTCAAAGGACCGGAAGATCGGGTTAGACGGCGAAGACAAACCTCACATCTACTCAGCCCGCGCATTTGTGGGATGGTACAACGGCCTGCCCGAATACCGCAATCTGGACCCTGACCTGCAGGCCGGGGAGACTGCGGTCGTCGTCGGCCAGGGAAATGTGGCACTGGATGTTGCTCGGACACTGCTGAGCAAGATTGACGTTCTGCGCAAGACAGACATCACGGAATACGCATTAGAAGCTTTGGCTGCGAGCAAGATCAGACACGTTCACGTGGTGGGACGGCGCGGTCCCATGCAGGCCGCATTCACCATCAAAGAAGTGCGAGAACTCCTCCACCTTGAGGACGTCAATTTCACGCCAATCCCAGAGGCCTTGTTTCCGCCTGACCTGTCAAAACTCCCCCGCCCGAAGAGGCGACTGATGGAACTTCTGCAGAAGGGAAGCCCTGCCAAGGAGAATGCCGCCAAGTCCTGGTCGCTTGAGTTTTTGTTGGCGCCGAAGGCTTTGCAATGGTCGCCCACGGACCCAAGCAAACTCGAAGGCGTGACGTTTGCAAGGACAAGGCTTGAAAACGTGGCGGATCCGGAGTCGAAGGTCTCCAGCACAGACGAGACTCAGCTCATTCCAGCGTCGACCCTATTCCGATCGATAGGCTACAAAGCAGAAGCAATACCCGGCATGGCCGACCTTGGCACGGACTTTAACGAACGAACAGGCACCATCCGACATGATGGATGCGGCCGGATCGTCCCCTTGCAAGAGACTGACACCCAGGGTCTCAAAGCCAGTCTCTACTGCTCCGGCTGGGTGAAGCGCGGTCCCACGGGCGTTATTGCAAGCACCATGACCGACGCATTTCAGACGGCCGACGCCATTGTCGAGGACTGGAGAAAAAAGACCGCCCAGAACGTGTCGAGTTCAGGTTCGTCATTGTCTCAAGCCGGGTGGAAAGGCGTCCAAGCCGATGCCGAGATCCTCAAGCTCCCTCTCCGACCTGTGCACTGGGACGACTGGGAAAATATCGACCAATTGGAGAAGAAGATTGGCACAGAAAAGGGCAAGCCCAGGGAGAAGTTCGGCAGCGTAAAGGAGATGCTGGAAGCCAGCGGGAAATGACCCTGCGCGGGAGAGACGTGCCTTAGTAGTTAGTATCTGCAGTGTGATACCGATTGCTGGAGATATATATGTGACGGCGGTAGACCTGAAGGGTCGGTTGTAGTATACTGTAGATATATACCTCGAATATACTCCGTACTCCATCTTGCATACAGTACCAACAGTGTGTATCCGCACGGGCAGCACAAGTATGCGGGGGTATGCGGTCTCAATGTCTGCGTAACTTTCACCTGAGTCTCTGGTACTGTTCCGACCATCTCCCTGCCTGCCTACAATTGCTGGCTCGCATATACAATATCTTCCATTCCTCATCCACGACCCGCTTGTTCCATGGGGTGCAATCCCCTGTAGCTCCTTCATCTTTCCCCTCTACACTTGGATCATCCGTAAGCTCGTCGGTCGGTGGAGCCGTGTCTGAACCGGGAACCGTACTGACCTGACCGTAAGGACAGTCTTGTCCAGCTCTTAGCCGTCAAATATGTCATGGGGGTCGACGCTGGGACTGAGACTGAGACTGAGCGACGTTGAGATCAACGTTGACGCGGCTGCTGCCTTGTACGTAATATCTCAAACACTCGCCCCTTTGCCGTACAGGATATCTTCCACGTACTCGGCAATGGCCAACGCGCTCGTCAAGCCGGGACTCTCGATGCCCAGGAGGTTCACAAACCCTTTGAACCCTTCCTCCTCTGTGATGTAGAAGTCGGCGAACCCCTTGCCGTCCTTGCCGTACGTGCCGCTTGTCCTGCCCAATTTGGGCCGGATACCACAATAGTCGAGGCCGATGGCCTGAACGTCAATGGAGGGCAAGTATTCCTTGATCACCTGGATGGCGGCAGCCAGACGCGCCGGGTTGGGCGTCAAGTCCGTGGGGTCGTCGATCCACTCGACGTCGGGCCCGAACCGCACACGCCCGGCCATGTCGAGCGTCAGGTGAGTGCCCAGGCCGCCGAGCCCGGGCTTCGGCGCCGGGTACAGCAGCGTGTTTGGCTTGGGATGTGACGACGAGTACGAAAAGTACGTCCCCTTGGCGTAGTATGGCTTGCGGTGCCGCTCGGGTGGCAGGATCATGTTCGAGATGTCCATGGCGGCCAAGCCCGCCGAGTTGATCAGCGTCTCGGCCGTGATGACGTCCTCTCCGCCCTTGCCGTCGCGGGACTGCGTGGTGATGGCGTAGCCTGCGTCCCCGTCTCCGCGTTGTCCGAGGACCTCGATCTTCGTGACCGCCGTGTGTAGGATCTCGTCGCCGCCCCGCTCGTCAAAGCTACCCTCCAGGTAAGCCATGAAGGCGTGGGAGTCGATGATGCCCGTCGTGGGCGATTCCAGGACGCCGGCCTCGGCGCGCACGTCGGGCTCCTGGGTTTGGATTTCCTGGCGCGACAGAAACTGCGTGGGCACGTCGATGCGTTTGGCGAAGGCGTGCAGGGCCTCCAGCTCGGCGAACTGCTGCTCGTCTTGCGCGATGATCCACTTCTTGGTGCGGCTGTAGGGGATGTTCTTGGCGTCGCACAGGTCGTAAAGGAGGTGTTTCCCGCGCAGGCACAGTTTTGTCTTCAGGCTGTCCGGGCCGTAGTACAAGCCCGCGTGGATGACCTCGGAGTTGCGACTGCTCGTCTCGGTGCCCACCGAGCCGTGTCGTTCAATCAGAATGGTCGACGTGCCCGTTCTCGAAGCCAGTTGCCGCGCGATGGCTAGGCCGACGGCTCCGGCACCGATGACCTGGCGACGCGGGTAAGTATAAGTGAGCATGTAGCTGGGAAGGTAGCGGCAGCAGATAGGGGAATATTAGCGACGGTACACACATTGCGTGACTACGAAAGTGGTGTGCGTGCGTGCAGAGGCGTGTGAGTACTTACGGCGTGTGTGAAGTCGGCGTTGCGTCTTTGAGATGTTGAAAAGTTCCTCTTCCCAGCAATTTCGCGACCCAGGATCCTCACAACTGTACGAGGAAATGGCGGCGCCATCGTCAATCGCTCTCATGAATGAATGAATACCTGCCTCGACTTCGAGTAACACAGCCTTTGATGTTCGCAAAGAAAATCAATCCCGAGACGACATTCCTTCTGAAACGCGCAGTCTCGGATTGTGTGAGCACACCTGCATCAATCTCAAATCACGACAATTCTGCGGTGCGCGATCGAGATATACTTTGGTATGTATTGGTGGATATACGAGGTAGTTAAGGCAGAGATATCAAAGGCAAGCTCTCAACGGGCGCCTATCGGAGCACGCACGACGTGTGTTGAGTCGAACAGTCGCGGACGCCGAAAGGATCAAAGGACTTGCAGATGCAACCAACAAATAGTACTCCTCCCTGCGTATAGTACATGGATGGCATGGATGTAGGTGAATACAATCAGAGGAAGCGATATGGAAAACAGGCTTGACGTCGGTGGACGATTCGGCGATAAGGCACAACAATGACGGAGATGATATCCGATGACGTCGACAAGACCAAAGCAGAGTCCTGGTCATGTAGTGCGAGGAGACAGACACCTGCCATCTACTCTCAATGAACCATGAACACGATCAGAGGGCTGTATTTCAGACAGCCGCTGAAGAGAATGTGTCAAGTTGTGGTTCAAGGAACGAGGCATAGGGGCCTCCATAGAAACCAAGGGGCGTCCTCGATATCGACAGAACAACCAAGCGGACCAGCATGTCTTACAGATCCAGAGGTACAGAAGCCCACAAAGATCGAGCGATTTGACAGTGAACAATCGCAACGAAGGTAGATCAGCAACAGTCAAGGCACGAGAAGGAGAACGAACAACGTCTCTTGACGGTACTGCATCTTGACGTCCGATGTTTCGAACCGGTCGTCAATCTCAACTTCAAGCGCGCCGCGAAGAGTGTGCTGCCGCCTTTTGCCTTTGCTTTCCTCCATTATCATTCTTGAGCAGACCAGTCTTCAGCAGCAAGCCTGTGTCGCTGACGAAGTGACCGTTCCCCATCGACTCGTCCTCCGTACTGTGTTCCCCCTATGTCCAATAAACCCCGAATCCAGTCCCACTGACTCGATCGCACCGACCAATTCCGCCATGACGGCACACGCTCCGCACTGCAGTCTGAATAGCCACTCGTGTGTCCGAAGAGCAGTACGAAGGGAACGAAGAGGCTGCCATGAAGTAAAAAGTGTCGAAGAAACTCCTAAGCCATTCTTCGACAAGGCCAGGGAGAGTAGAGCGCAGAGGCCGGCGAGGGAGGACAGTATCAGCGGGAAGAGTGCGAACGGTCTTCGTATCTTGGAGCCGATGACAGGTAGAAGAGTCGTTGCGTGGTTTCTCCCAGCAGAGCAAGAGCCACACACTGAACAGACAGCAAGGTTTCTCGTGCGCACGATTCCATTAATGCTTCTGTGAGCTATCCAAGCTCGTGTCTTTCCCGGGCTGCCACATCCATGTACAACCGGCCAAGGACACGTCTAACGCGCTCTCTCTTTCTATGCATAAAGCCGAACCGGTATTCCAAAACGCTGTACTTCCGACGTTTGCGGCGTCTTGCCTTTGCCCCTTGCTCCATAGTGACCACGCACCCATATGAACTGTGGTGACCTCCCTGTTGGGCTGAGTATGTGTGTATGTACAATGATGCCAACAAGTCTATCGCTAAAGTGCAAAGGGAAAAGCAAACATTCTTTTCAGGGCAGGCCAAAATGCGGTCACGGTCGTTCCGTAAACGTGAGCTTGCAATGATCCTGGCACGGACGTCAGTCACATTTCCACGGATGATGGCTTTTTCGGACTCACCTGAGGGAAAATAGTCGCAAACACCTCAATTTCCTCGCTGATGGGTGTGGGTTCATGCACCCAGTCCAACAGAATGCTCGCCTTGCCGATCATGGCCATCAAATTCAGCTGAGCATATGTCTGACCCAGGCAGTAATGAGGACCGGTACCAAACACCAGCCAGTTCTTGACCTGCTTGTCTGCATCGCCGGTGATCCATCGCTCGGGTTCGAAGCTGTCAGGGTTGGGGTACGCTTCGGGGTCGTGGGTCGCTGGCCAGATGCTGGGGATGATCATCGAACCCTTCTTCAGGGTGTAATTTTTGGTGACGGGGAAATCTTTCTTCGCCACGTATGGCACAAGAATGACTGGAGGCCGATAGCGCAATGTTTCCTTCACAACGGCTCTGGTCCAGACCATGGACTCCAGCATGTCCATGTCGAATGGCTTGTTCCGATCGCCGCCACGAAGTCTAAGGTTCTCTTCTCGCACTTTGTCCAAGATCTCCGGTCGGTCGGCCATAATTTGAAACAGCCAGGTGCACGCGCTGGACGTGGCGTCTTGCGAAGCAAATAGGAACGTGAAGAGAGTCATGGAGATCTCGACATCAGTAAAGTCGCGCAGTAATTGAGCCGGCTTCTCCGAATCATCGACCTTTTCGCCCTTCGCGATCCGTTCTCTGTACGTGGCAGATTCTTGGATCTGCTTGACCCAAGCATCCATGATACAGGTGATACTGCCGCCAGCGGCCATGCGAACCTTGGACTTCGCGGCGCACTTGGCGAACTCTTCCAGCACCATGTCGGCCGCTTTCTTACCATACCACGTCTTGGTGTAAGGGATGATGATGGGGAAGTTGACGAGCTCCAGCGCGGCCGTAATCAGATAGTAATCGTGAGCGATCTTCTTGACCACCTTCTCGCTCATGTAATGTCCCACGAATGTGCGGCAAGACACAGCGCACATAAGTTCTCGGAAGACAGGCATCCAGGGCTTGGCCGTCATGTTGTTCTCCCGGGTCATGTCGAGAAAGCTCTTGAAGTACTTGCTGTAGACCTCCTCTTGACCAGGCAGATACATTTCCAATGCTTGACGGGTGAACAGCCCGTTGAGTCCCTTGCGATACTCCACGTGAGCCTTTCCATCCAGGAAGACCCAGTTGTCAGGACGAAGCAGTTTGGGAGCGACATCGACGACGGTCGGCTTGAGGAACATGGGCGAGTTGAAGATTTTGCGCGTCATGGCAGGAGTTCCGGCAATGACGACGAATCTGAATCATGGCGTTAGCGGCAAAGCTTTGAGCGAGACGAACATCGACACGGCACGCGTACTTGTGAAAGACTGAGACACAGCTCAGCTCCCCGCTCTCCCATTTCTCCTTGTACTTTCTGAAATCCGGGCGCATCGACTCGAGGAATGGCCCAATGAAGGGCATTTTCCACGCCGGTCCGACAATGCCATGTTTGCGCCATTGGTAGCTACCTGCAAGGCTCGGTCAACGTCCCGCGGGATCAGGGAGAGTGGATGGATGATGCTCACACTGATCGTAGGTAGCCAGCACCAAGAGCAGCGTCAAGAGCACAGTCCAGATGTTGAGCTGCGCCCACAGTCTGCCCAAGACACCCACTCCCGAGGCCAGGAGGGCCTGATGCGACTTCAAATCGGCATTTGCGAGAGGTGATGTAAAGCTGGTGGCATTTGACATGGCCTCCATGGCTATTCGCGAGGACGGTGTTGGGGGCCGCGGTAAAAGGCTTGAGTGTGCGTGGTACCGTCGAATGGGCGGACTGTGCCTTGCAGTTGGGCGACACGGTACAACACCCACGCCGTCACGGATATGCGCCTCCTTTGCTCCTCCTCTTCAGACACAAGTGATTCAGCAACTCGGTGTTACCCAGAGAACACAGCGGGTGCGCAGGACAAGGGCGACGAGCACACTGTGTTTTGATAGACCTTGACTGCAAGGACTGGGACTTCACCGCTAGAATGCTTGGCTCTGATAATTATCGTTCACAGTAGAGGGGCCTGCCGAAATTGGAGCTTGGTGATGCCCCGGAGTGGCCTCATCAATATCTTAGGCTTTGCTCAACGCCCAATAACACCTTCCAATTGGGCGGGCGCTGGGCATGTTAGAGGGCCCGCTCGTCGGTTGCTGGACCCTCCGGATGGCCACACTTTGCCCTGAGAAATTGGGCCAATCATCGACCAGTCAACCACAACCGACTGGTGCTAGCGCATAAAACGAGGAATTAGAGCTTGTCTGCTTCGTAATGCTCAATGCACATTCTATTCTTCGTGGACTCGTCCTCGTAGCACCGGAATGCTGAGTAAGGGGAGAATGCGGCAATACATAGATCGACCAGCTCGGACTTTATGCAATGCTGTTGCATGTCAATCACTCCGTACCGAGAATGTACGACAGAACTCCACAGGCCCCCTTTTTCCACATGCCCATTATCAGGCGCCGCTTTTCCCATCATGTATTCTCCCATAGTGGTCTCAAATCCCGATCATGATCCCGAAACTCCGTGAACTCCGTGTCAAAATCTCGTCTCCTAAGGAATGTCGAACGTGGGTTTGAGTTTCTTCAGAAGCGCCCATTCGTCCTTGGTGACTTCATCTCGGTAGAACTCCTTCAGTGTGTCGATGGACTTGCGAGAGATCAGCGAGTAGAGGACGTCTTTGTCTTCCAGCTGCCGTCCGTACATGGGCTGATTGGGCCCCTCAATTTTGACTGCAACCGAGGGCTGGCCTTTCTTGCAAATGGGAATGGCCTTGTGTTCACGTTCGATGGACGATCTGGCGTAAGGTTAGTTCCTGCACCTTGAAAATGGATTGCTGCCACTTACACTCTGCCCAAGACGACGATCTCCTTGGTACCAGTGACGGGGTTGGTCTTGACCGCAGCAATCGGTGTCAGTAGACGTAGACTACCCTCGACCACGTCGACTCCCACCACGATGGGATCCTTCTTGTTGAAGACTTGAATAGGATGAAGCACACACGGGAAGACCGCATGCAGCTTGCTTTCTTCCTTCTTCTGCTCCTGCAGCTGCTTCATATGTGCGGTGAAGTTGTCGAATAAGTGGTAGATGATATCGGCCGTGAAGATTTTGATGCCGTTCTCGTCTGCGTACTGCTGTGCCTCTTTATCCACTTTGACATCGAAGCAGAGCATGACTGCATACTCTTTCGCTTTCTCCAGCATTGTACCGGCCATGATGACATCGCGCTTGAAGACGGGGCCGATCCCGACGTTGGCCACGGGGATTTTCGACTCCTTGAGGAAATCTAACAGTGCCTCAAGAGAGCCCAACGTAGAAGCTTGCACGCTGACACCACGGTGGTCCTTGGATATCTTGCGGAGGAGTTGCTGCAGGTCGGCCATGACATCATCCATCAGGTCCTCTTCATCGTCATCGGGTCCAACGACAAGCAGTCGAGATCCTGCCACAGCCTTGTCAAGATCGTTGGCCGCAATCTTGACACCCAGAGCCGCCTTGCATTCTTTGTTGTGCACGTACGCCGACTTGAGACGCAGCTCCCTGAGCGGAGCTGGCGTCAAAAGCGCTCGAATGTTGGTCGCGATTGGCCCATCTGTACCACACAGCACAATTCGGTCGTTTTCGCGCAGGACTCCGTTCGAGATGATCACGTCAATGGTGGTACCCAGACCCTCAATCACCTTGACCTCCAGAATCGTGGCTTGCACTTCGGAAAGATACATCAAGGCCGAGGTCATCCGCTCCTGGGTGAGAGTAACGAGGAGTTTGAGCAAATCTGGGATACCTTCACCAGTATGCGCTGAAGTCGGCACCAGTGACACATATCGCCGCATGTCCTTGTTTTCATAGAAGACCTCGGCATTAAATCCTTCTGCAGCGAAAGCAAGTTTGGTATCTTGGAGTCGCTTCTCAAACTCGCCTACCACTCCCTTAGACTGCATGGCGAGACTGTCTTGGAAGCCGTTGTTATCGATCTTCTTCCAGCCGTAGAGACGGTCGATCTTGTTGAGCGCCACAATGAACGGTGTCTTGCGTTCTTTCAGCAACCTCATAGACTCCAGCGTCTGCGGCTCTAGGCCGTGCATGATGTCCACAACCAAAATGGCAATGTTACAAAGTGAAGAACCTCGAGACCGGAGATTGGAGAATGACTCGTGGCCAGGAGTGTCGATAACCAACAGACCAGGCACTTTGAATTGAAATTTGCCATCCTTGTTCACGACAGCCGTTTTCTGTTCAAGTGCCTCCCTGGGGAAATAAGTAGCACCGATTTGCTGAGTAATACCACCAGCTTCGCCCTCTTGAACGTTTGTTTGTCTGATCTTGTCCAGGAGCTTTGTTTTTCCCGTGTCGACGTGGCCCAAGATACAGCATATGGGCGATCGGAGGTCATCTTTAGAGCGTGCTGCAAGGGCTTCTTCGTGGGCTTTCGCTCGCCGCGCGGCCGCTTCTGCCTTTCTCTGTGCTGTTGCACGCTGAGCTGCTGTGGCTTCCTCATCCTCGTCTGAAGAGTCCTCCTCCTCGGACTCGGTGTCCGATTCAATAGGTCTCTCCTTCGGAGGCGGACCGGAGTCACGGACGGGCAGCGTTGACGATCCGTTTGTTTTGGCGACAGCTGGCTTGGGGACGGCACCATTGGTTTCGGCCTTTTTCTGCGTCTTCGTAGCACTGCCGTTGATAGTTGGTTGGGACGGCTTCGAATCCTCGTCAGAGTCAGCATCCCAGCTGTCCTTGAGGTCGTCGTCAGCAGCCTTTTCCCAGTCATCGAGCTCGGAACCATCATCTTGCTGCGCGGCCTCTGCTGCTGCTGCAGCTGCAGCAGCCTCTTCGGCTTCTTTCGCGAGACGTTGACGTTCTGCTGCGGCTGCTTCGGCTTCCTGTCTCGCTTTTTCAGCAGCAGCTTCCAGGTCGACCTCTTCCTTCTTGGGGCCCTTTCGCTTCTTGTCTGCGTGTTTCTTCTTCTCTTCGACGCTGTCGCCAGTCAGGCCTGCAACCTTGGCGCCCGACTCGAGCATCTGCTTCAGACGAAGCTCCTGTTGCTGCTTCCTCTTCCTATCGGCTTCGGACAAGAGTTTGCCTTCCTTCCGAAGTTGTTCTTTCTTCTCCTTTTCCTTCTCCTTCTTACGTGCTCTTGCCTCAGCCTTCTTCTGCTCCTCTTCAGCTTCCTTTCTCAAGCGCTCTTCTTCGGCAGCCTTCTCTTCAGCCTCTCTCCTTTGCTGCTCTTCTCGCTGTCGAGCCAGGAGCTCCTGCTGCTTCTGAATAGCGGCCAGATGTGCGGGGATCTTCTTCTTCTTGCCAGCTTTTTCATCCTTCTCGGGTGCAGCAGCGGCCGCCTCGGCCTTTTCGACAACGGCAGGTTTCGCTTCTTCGACCTTTGGAGCGGGCGTCGGAGCAGCAACCTTCTTCTTTGCGGCCTGTTGCACTGTCAGAACCCAACCAGACGACAACAGAGAAGCCTTGACTTACCTGTTCTTTCTTTCTCTGCTTTTCCCGCTCCTTTTTCTCACGCTCCTTCTCCTTCTTCGACTTCACCCCGCCGTCGCCATCAGCATCGTCGTCGGCGGCTGGTGGCGCTTCCTTCTCAGGCTGCTTTTTGCCAGCCTTCCCCTTCTTGTTGGAGTTTCCGGCAAACACATCGTCGTCGTCGTCGTCGAAGGTGGCTTCGGTGGGGGCTTTCGCAGCCAAGCTGGCGGCAGGATCCTCAGGGGCAGCACCGTCCGCATCCTCCCCATCGACAAAGTCATTGAGGTTCTGCTTTCCTTTTTTGGCCCGTTTGTCTTTATTTCTCCGCAGCGCAGCCAAGAGACCGCCGCCGCCGCCATTCATCTCGTCTGCGGCATCGTCGTCTGCCTCGGCCTTCTTTGCCTCTTCAGTAGCCTGGGCTATCGGATCGACAGTCTCGCCCAGATCGTTCTCCCAGTCATCCGCCTGCTTCTTGCCTCCCTTCTTCTTAGGAGCCATTGCGTCGGTGTGTGTGTTGGTGGGATGGTTGTCGGGGTATGAGTCGTTCACGATTTAGAGGCGGCGACATAAAGTCGTGTGCGGCGTGGTGGGATCAAACAGGCGATCTGTCTTGGGATAGAAAAATGCGGCATCCAAACCAGGCTATTGGCCACTAGGTTGACATTGACTTTTGGATCTCCCTGATTCTCCGCCACAGTCTCTGATAGAATCTGTCAAATGGGAATCGGATTTAGGAGTTGTACGTTGTAGACTGTTGTGCGAAAGTGGCCGGCCGAGGTGATGAGTAAGTGGTGATGGTGGGGCAGTGAGAGGAAGGTGAGAGGTGGGTGAGAGGCCAGTGAAGGCGAAGTGAAGGCGAAGTGACGTATCGAAGGGACAGACGGATTTCACGCACGTCGGCAACGAACGTGTGGCTTGGCGGCCTCGATCGAAAAAACCTGGCGCTCTCAAATTCTGCCTTTGTCTCAGCCGTGACTCACAGCGGTTAACAGCTAAGGTACAGTAGTCCTTATAGAAATCTCAGGTCACAATGGCATGCATCGAGTGCTTGGCCAACACGCAGTTGCCGGCTACAAAAATCCAGGGCACGGATTAGTATCGTAGATTCCTTGATTCGAGTCTCTCTCAAAGCTACTTGTCAAGACCGTGCCCCTCGACCTGTAGTACCCTCGATTTGCCCTTAGTCCCCTGTCATGGCCGAGGTGGATATCTCAAGAACTTTCTCATCCAGGCGATTGCTACCTCGACCGGCTCATCTGTCGCTGCCAAAGTTTCCCGGACCAGAGCATTGAACGTTTCTAGCCGCGGTGAGCCTTTCAGGACGTTCCGCAGGTTGTATGGTCCGTCCTCAATCATCATGAGCAGGCGGTCTCCACGCACATGCATGTCTTTCGGCCTGAACGGGGGAGGCTTCCACAGATACGTCTTACCATCTGCATCCCTTCTCTTCATCGGCACAGCCGTGATCGCCTTGCGGTCCATATAGCTCATTTCCTCGATGAAATGAAGCAGCTTCCACTCTTTGTGCTTGAGCAGCGTGAAATGGAACAGTGTCCCGTCCATGGTGGCGCCATAGAAACGAGTCCGCTCGGTTCTCGGAGACCCGTGGGAGGAATCAAGCCGGAAACGATGGATATGGCCCGGCATTTTGGCGTGGAACAGAGGTGTCGCGTTGGAGTTTGCCTTGTTCAAACCTGAGAATCCAACGATATCAGTGCCAGCCGCGTCAGCAGCGGCAAAGACAGCAGTTGAAAGGTCCAGGACGGCGACATCTTTCGCGTATCTCATTCCGGCATCACATTTATGTTGGCACAATCGGTCGTTCCGGTCCACGAGAACGAACAGCGAGTGCTCCCGGGTAGCCACGCAGATGAGCGAGCCCTGACATGAGATGGCATTGGCCATTGAAGGAATCGCATGTCTGGACAACGTCTCCCACCTGCGTGTCTTGAAGTCGAGGTGGCGCAGTATGATCTCTTTCCCGCAAGCAATTAGTAGTGACGACTTCTTGTAAGCACAAATCGCCGTAACAGGTTGCTTGTCGTGAAACGCGACTTTCGCGTCGGCGTCAGGCTTGCCTTTCCCCAACGTTTTAGCATTGACACACACAACTCGGCCATGCATTCCTGGCTGCTCCAATGCAAGGACTAGCCATTCGTAGTGAAAGACATCGTCCGTGGGTCTCCAGTCGATGAAATCGTGTAGGATGGCGCTGCTGTCTCCGGTTACGATGGTCGAGAAAGTGACATCCTCACCCTTTCTCCCAGCAGGATAGCTTAGATTGCGCGTGACGAGTTGCAGTCCGATCTGCCGAACTTTCTCTGACGGCCGATCTGTGGCATCTTTCTCGCCCGGCAACAATGGCACGTTGGTTGGCCTCCGCAGTGGTGGTTCATAGGGATACCCTTCCTTGGAGTAAGCAACCGCGAATTTCTCCAGAAATTGGGAGTATAACAATCGCTTCGGTACGCCGTCGAAGTGCAAATGCCGGGCTATGCCGTGCTCTTGAGCCACAACGGAGCAGAACAATATCTCGGCTTCAGTAGCGCAGATCAAGAAACCTCCAGGCTGCTCATATTTGGACTCCAGCTTAGGTATCCGGTGGAGCGCATTGACCAGCGGCAGGGCAGATGGCTACTCATGGTCAGTCCGTGTTGCTCCGGCCTATAGAAAATGAAGACTCACGTTGGTTCGATCTACCACCCAGATAGGCGAAAACGTGAAATCGACAACAGCAGAGTTCGCATGTAGTGTGACACGGTAAATTGTATACTCGCAAAGGACCAATGCTGAGGGATTTCCAGAGCCATCAGGACGGCCCCTTTCCTCAATGATCTGCACCGCAGTCGCGCCTACGCGGAAAAGCTCGTCACAACGTACGTCTGGTCATCACGTTAGCAACCACATTTCTTCTGGACATTGTAGCCCCTACCTATCCTCGTTCCGTTCTTACTCTGTATTTTGAGTTCTACACAGAGTACAGTGCCTGACCGCAATCCGCACAAAAGCAGCGTGGGACCCACGAGATGAGGACCCAACGCAACCAGGGATGACACCGCCGCATTGTTCGCTTCGGGATGGAGATCTTGGATTCGAACTTCAAATACGGGTTTCAGGTTTTCGTCGTAGCACAGGAGCTCGCCAGTAGCCGTGCCAATCACAACCATTCGGCCATGATGTGTTTGCATGCAGCATATGCTATTAGGGATATGTTCCAGCCGCACAAGCTGCGTAACGTCGAATTGAGGCTGGCCATCATCTGCGGTATCGACCTCGATGATACAGAGATCCAAACCTGTATCGCATGCACGTACAGCGGCGATGGCTGCATTATCACCAACGGAAATGGTCGCATGCTCAATTGTCGACTTGAGGTGGCGCAGTCTGGTAACTTGGTCGTCAGCCTCGACCAAGATTGCCCTTATGCCAGCAGTTGTGACCTGTATGACTATATCTTGATTGAAGACCGTAGCGGCAAGGGTTGAGTGGTCGAAATCGAACCCGGGATGGCTATCCGAATCAGTAAAAGAGATGTCCTGTGTCTCGAGCTCGAATGCGACCATAGACGAACTTGCCGTATGGGACGCCAGCAGTAGGACTTGACTGATTCTTGGTAGTTCCAGACTGAAAAGCCGCTCAACCAGGGCGGCATTGGGAAACTCCATCTTCCATCCAATTTGGGCTTCGAACCCGTAACGGATCTCCGAAACCTGACCTTTCCGATCATGTGGTCCCGAACAGGTGTAAAGGCGGCCGGGCATTCCCTGCTGCGCCGTGATATCCTCGCCATCCACAGCTATCGGAGGGCCGGTGATAATGTCGTTCAGGGGTGCAAGGGTTTCGATGGGTTGTAGACGCTCGGGTGATCCTCGTGCGGACACGTGGAAAACGCCTCCATCAGTCATGCTGCCGCCCACGACAAGAATATCGCCGCCTTTCCCGGGCGGGCCAGAGAGCATGCAGAAGGCTGTATCAACGCTGAAACCAAGGTGACCGATGACGTTGTTCGTAGAAAAGATCTTGCTGGAGTGTTTATCAAACAAGAAGTTTCGCAGCAGCCCGTCTTCGCGAAGAAGTACAATGTCATCACGTCGTTGCAGGTAGTGAATGTGGCGTCGAGGTCTCGACCATTGGACCCATTCTAGCGGCTCTTCGTTGTCCTTAGCGAATGCACAGTTGACCCGCTTCGTTTCCGAAGATTGGACATTCTCGTAATAGGTAATGCTCGATGGCATAACAACCATGTATGAATAGGCTCGTGTCGAAGGGATTAGCATCGTGGGTAGTTGGTCCTCCTGCAGCTTGCGCCCGCTACAAGACATATGCTTAATTGTCTTTAGTGGGAGACGAGTATCCCACGTCAGCACGTATTGGTATATTTCTTTTCTTTCATCGCCAGAGTAGGCCAACAGCAGGAGCACGACCTTGCTGGGGTCAGCATCAGGACTTGGTAAGAAGGACATCAGAAGGAATTTCCCATCGACCGTGATAAACCGTTGCTATCACCGTCAGTGTGGCAAATTGTATCGCAGGGAGATACTGACCTCTCTGGCAGGACAGAAGGAGGCAGGGTTCAACGGATCCCAGCCGTCGATCTCAGCTTTGATCTCATCCAGGCACCGTAACTTGAATACTACCACGTAGCCCGACGGCGAAGCAACCGCAAGAGCTCGAGACCTATTTCCCATCAGATGAATGGCAATAGTCAGCTGAGAGAGCCCTACTGAGGATCGACTGCGACATCGCGACATTCGCTCGAGGGCAGATCAGAGCCTCGCAGAAAAGGGCGCTTTGCAAAGACCAGTTGAGCATCGCCAATGCTGTTTTCTCTGGCGTAGACGTAGATCATTTCGTTGTCTCTGGTCACGAGAACAAGAAGCTGCGGTGGTTGCCCATCGCCCACGGGCTGCCCACGAATGCTGAATTGTTCGAGGTCACGCTCTTGCTTCAGGATCGCATCGACCACAGGGATCGTCTCCAAGTCGGCAGAGATGACCTTGGCATCTGTGATTGTCGTTCCAAAGTCGAGCTGTGCGGTTGTGTCGACCAGCTGTCCACTGTCCTGGAACTCATGGAGCTGGACAAATGTATGTCCGACAAAGACGACATCGTTCTTGGACGGGGAGCGTAGCCTGGCAGGGAGAATCCATCTGATGCTCGAGCTCGAGGTGAGAGTCCGGGACAGGATACCGACGCGCTCCTGGATGGGCGGACGATCTTGTGCTGGATTGTTGCTCCTGCCCTTGCGACCACGGTCGCTGACAGTCGCCATGATCAGTCAGGCGCAGCCAGACTGCGTGACGAACGACTCGGGGGCAGCGATGTTCACAGCAACTAGGCTTCTCGAGGGTGACTAAATCTCGACGCTCAGGTGAGGTAACGAGACATCAGTCGCAGCGCACATGTGTCAACGTCGCCGGTGGGGTGAAAACTGGTGTTCACGACGAGCGTGACTCTAGGAGTGGTCTCCCTTATGTAGCTCTCCAAAGGGACATTCTGAGTGCATTTGACCCGACCTCTCTCTGCTGCAATTCTCCCAGGTTTCATCGACGAATCATCAATCCGAATCCGGGGTTGGCAGCGAGGACCGTTACGGAATGGAATGGCGAGGGGCAGCAGCTGGAGCTGCGCACCAATTGAATTGCCATCAGTCGCATATCCCGGAGCCTGGCTCTCTCAAGGGGGGCGGAGCTGCAGAACATGCGTGCATCGAGCTAGTCCGAGACGTGGAAATGACAAGAGCTACACGAGGGCATCAGAAGGGAAAGACAACAGGATCTTGCAGCACAGTCGCAGGCAGCCAAGTACATAGACGAGATCGCCCTCAGATTCGCCCCCGCCAGAGCGAGGCACTCGAGGCACTGTAGTTACTGTAAGCGCTGCCGCCAAATGCATGCATGCTTCAAGGACATCGTCATCGAGCAGCGGCGACATGTTTTCAGCTCTTGCTAGATAGACACGCAGGATGCACTGAACGAACACGGTCGCTTCGGTGTGGACAGAGTTGACACTGGCGGCCAGGCAAACAGGCGCTTTTGTACGACCTGTCACATTGTCGTCCACATCAAAACCATCCCCATGCAAGCATTCACCGTCGAGCGAAAAGAGGGTCACACGGGATATTGTCTTCTTCGAGCCTATTGAAATCTCGACGTAAAGGGCGGCGAACATCTGCCCGCGCATGCCATCGCTTGTAGCTGCCCGATCCCACGCTCAATCTACCGGCCGAGCGCAGACGGCGATCGTCCGTCTGGGTGAGAGGGCACGATGCAGGGCGGCGCCAGCATCATGGACACGGCTGTCAGCGAGAAGCCACTGACAGGTTCCATGGCGTCGGCTGCAAAGCTGTCACTGACAGATGCGGACGAACACGACAAGAGGCAACGCATTGAGCAAGCTTGCCGCCAACAGGATGTTCGAGCCCTGATTGAGCTTGCGAGCTCGACTGGTGGCCTGTTGGCGGACGACTTGCGCCGCAAAGCCTGTATGTTCCCCCTTGCTCGTCCACCCCTCGTGGAACTCGACGCTGATGCACGAACTGCAAAGGGCCACTCCTACTGGGTTTCGCACCTGAGGATTCAAGACCGGTCGAGCAGACGCGGGCAAATCAGGAACACTGGAGAACTTTACCACGTCACCCCGACGAGGATCAAGTACAACTCGACGTTGATCGTGCCTTTGTATATTACCCTAAAGGTTAGTGGTCCCTCCCTCCCACGCACAGGGTATCACGGTCTGAATGCAAGCAGATGAATCCGAACAGTCACTGGAGACCAAGAAGGCAGAGCTCTCCGATCTGATCGTCGCGACCTTGAGAACCCACCCTATGCTCTCCTACTTTCAGAGCTATCATGATGTCGTACAAGTGCTGTTGCTGGTGCTTGGGAAGCAACAAGCCATGGCTGCCGTTCCACGCATCTCTCTATGTCGCCTTCGGGACTACATGCTACCGACTATCGCCCCTGCAAGAAGACATTTTGAGCTTGTATCAGCTGTTGTGAAGGCAGCCGACCCCGAACTGGCAAATCACATCGCCCAAGCTGAGAACATCTTCGCGTTGTCGGCGACTCATTCCCTGTTTGCGCACGATATTTACAACTACGGCGATATTGCCCGGCTTTACGATTTCTTACTGGCACACGAACCAATAATGAGCATCTACTTGTTTGCAGCGGTGACAATATCACGCCGGTCGGAATTGCTGGAGATGCCTCCTGAGGAATCCGACATGCTGACGTTCGTGATATCCAAGTTACCGCAAACCTTTGACATCGACGCCCGCGTCCAGGATGCCTTGGCTCTGTTCCGAGACCATCCACCTCAGACCCTCCCTGGCTTTGTCTGGTGGCGCCTGTCGCAGTACAGTGTGCTCAAGACCTCGCGACGTATTGAACACCCTCAAAGCCTTGAAGAGGCTGAAAGTTTCGGCCGAAAGCAGATCGAACAGCTTCACAGGCACGAGTTAATGGAGAAGAGAGCCCTTCTGCTTTACAAGTACAGAAAGCCAGCAACATCTCTCGCTGCCATGCTCATGGTTGGTGCATTTGCCGTCTGGCTGAGAAGGAATGGGCACGACAAGGTGTTCTGGTCTGTCGTTGCCACCGCATATTCGTCCCTGTCCAGACAGGGGTAGGCCAGGGTGAGAGTCTGTGTACGAAAGTATGGGCTGTCTGTGGGTTACCCGTGAGAGGAAGAACGAACGTCCAGGTGGATGAAGTCGATGAAGTCGATTGGCAGGCTAGGAAGAGTGTTACCCTCCCATTCTAGCCTGACCGACCGCTTACTCCTTATGGCGCGATCGAGACATTTCGCGGCAGAACAGTGAAGGGGGTTAAGGTGAGACGTCTCAAGACCAATACTTTCTGTTTGCGGAAAGAGGCATCAGGACCGGAGAAGTCCAAATTTCAATATCAACGAGAGTGTCGCCGCAAGCACTGGACACGAGTGCCTACCATGTCGGCGACCTGCGTATTGAAAGGTGACCCCCCGGGACATTGCCACTTTGTGGGAATGGCCGAACAAGTCAGGCACACGTAACCTAGGACGCGGTGAAGGAGCGAGTGCGCATAACAACAGTCGCACCCGATGTCTCAGACACGGAGGAAGCAGGAATTCTGGCCACTGAGCAGTTGACAGGGCCGGGGATCTCGATCTTCCCGTCGGTATGGAAGATGAAGGGGGTGGCGGTCGACGGTTGCTGTTGGAACCGCGCAGTGATTCCGCCGATGGCAGTAGCTTTGCAACACAAGTCTGTAGTAAGAGTAAACTCGACTTTATGTGTGTTGACCAACAACACTAACCGACCGGTCACTCACGGTGGGCGCATGGCATCGTGGGCACCCCATGCATGAACCCTGGAGGCGAGAACGGCTGAAGATTTGTCATTACAGCAGAGTACTGCCAAAGTTGGGCAAAATTTCGGCGTCATTACATCTGTCATCACACCCGCATTTCTAGGTACGTACACGTACAGTAACTCGGACGGGCAACGTGTTTTGACGTGCTCCAACTCCTCACCACCGAGCAGCCGCGCCTCGTGCTCCCTCAACACTCGCTGCGCATCGTCGTCTGAACTGTTCCTCGCCAGTCATCCGCACAAGGATGGCGAATCGAGGCTACGATGTCGTCGTCGACGTCGACACAGAGGTAGGTGCCTTCCACCGAGCCACCGCAGCTCACTATGAATCTCAAATGCGCACTCAATATCTAACCCGCAGCAGGGCGACCTAGGCCACACCGACCTCCAAGACGACGACCTAGAATTCCACTCGTCAAGTGCGTCCAGCCTTGCACACGCACCCCTCTGGCATCTGCTATCCTGCTACCCTCCGAGTTCCCTGCGGACCTGACACACTGACACACTGACACTGTTATATTGCAGACTTCGAATCCAACCCGTCGAGCCAGCGCAAGATCCAACCGGACACGCCCTTCCTCTCCACCGGCAGCGGCGTCAACAACCTGGGCGCGGCGCCCTCCTCCTCCTCGACCTCCGCCCAGAAACACATGCTCTGGTCGCTCTCGTTCTACGCGCAATTCTTCGACGTCGACACCACGACCGTGCTCCACCGATGTCGGTCTGCAATCCTCCCGTTCATCCCGAACACGCCACCGTTCCTCGACATCATGGACGGCAACCCCGACCTGTACGGCCCGTTCTGGATTGCCACGACCGTCGTGGTCATCTTGTTCCTCACGGGCACCATCAGCCACAAGCTCGCCACCGAGGGGAAGAAGCACTTTGAGTATGATTTCTCGCTGCTGGGCGGTGCGGCCGGCCTGGTCTACGGGTACACGCTGTTCGTGCCGCTGGGGCTGTGGGCCGCGCTGCGGTGGTTTGGGGCGCAGTCGCTGGAACTGGTCGAATGCTGGGCCCTGTACGGATACGGCAATCTGTTCTGGATCGCTGTGGCGCTGGTGTCGTGGTCGCCGCTGAACGGGCTCAACTATGCCCTCGTCGGATTGGGCTACGCCGTCAGCGTCTTCTTCCTGGTCAAGAATCTGTACCCCGTGATCAGTGCGACGGAGAAGAAAATCAGCCAGGTGCTCTTGGTGGCGGTGGTGCTGTTGCATGCCGGGTTTGCCATTGCCATCAAGGTTCTATTTTTCAGTCATATGAGTCCGGCCAAGGACGATGACAGCAAGGCCAGGTTATTCTAATGCGCGACCGAGGGGAGGCTACGGTAGGATATGGCGCTCTGTTTAGGACCTTGCTACATGGACCAGGACCGGTATCGGGTCAGCCAGGCTGCCGATATAGTGTATCACTACGTATCATGAGGTTTCGGCGCCCGTGTAATCATGTGCCTCCAAAGCGGACACCCTGACGATTTGCCTTTCTCATTTATTGGTCACCCACAGACGAGTGTCCTTGAGTATCCCTCTTCCCTACACTTGCCGAGTGCAAACGGACTTCTTGTGGGCTTGGGAGCATTGAGGAAGAACTGACTGCCTGAGCTAGGTAGCTCGGTGGGTGACGAACACGAAGTGATGGCGCTTTGAAAATTTGATGCATTGTCTACCGCCCTGGGACTACCCCGTAGCCTGTGCACTTCATTCCTCTCAGTCCACCACGACGCCGTCGGTATCCGGTAACATCGGTTTCAGCAACAATGCCTGCTTGCATGCAAGCATTCTTCTGCCTCGACTCATGCTCTTCATGATTTTCCGCGGCTCTCATGACACATAACCCAGGTCCCCCCTTCTCTCGAAAAGTTCTTGCTCCAGCACACACCACGCCACACCACAACATACCACTACTTGATCTTCTTCTTGGGACGGAGCTGGTTGGTGTGACCGCACTTCTTCTTGCGGCAGTTGGTCGCTCGCGGCGGCAGCCGGGCGTAGCACTTGCGGCAGATCATCTTCTCGCAGTTGTATTTCGACGCGAGGGCCTTGAGGGACGGTTCGATGATACCACCTCGGAGGCGGAGGACCAAGTGGAGAGTAGATTCCTGTAAAAGGGTGGGGAGTGTCAGCGTTTGGATCGACTTGTCATAGCATAGCGGGACAACTCATAAAATATCCAAAGGACTGCAGCCAAAAGAGAGAAAGAAAAAAGAAGCCATAATCGAGAAGCAGGAATAGAGACAGACGCACCTTCTGAATATTGTAGTCGCTCAGCGTCCGGCCATCCTCGAGTTGCTTGCCCGCGAAGATCAATCGCTGCTGGTCGGGTGGGATGCCTTCCTTGTCTTGGATCTTGGATTTGACATTGTCGATCGTGTCGGAGGATTCGACCTCGAGGGTGATGGTCTTGCCCGTGAGGGTCTTGACGAAGCTGTCGTTGCGTCCATGTTAGATCTTGCCTCCCCCGAAATGCCGTTCCCCAATTTCGAGCGCAGAAGGAACGGATGGGGCTCGACGCCGGGTCAGAATAGAACTTACATCTGCACTAGAACAGGGTCAGTACGGGGATGCGATTTGCTTGGAAGGGCACGCAGAACTTACTCTTGACAGGATCTTCTTGGGCACTGGGTTCGTTGGTGGTGATGTCGGCGGAGGGGCGACAGGAACTTGCTTTGATTGTGTGATTCGGATGCCAAGACCGGATCGGAAAGACTTGTACGAGGAAGGTTAGCCGGTCGGCGAGGCTGCAAAAAAAGCCTCATGAGGCTGTCACTTTCTTCTAGCATGATCTCGATGATGACATTAGTCACACCCAATGCGGACCGAATTCGACCTTAAGAGAGTGATTCTCAGTCTATGTACCAAGCTATCAATCTATAGCTCTGAATTGGAAAGGTCTTTCCCGTGGCCAACCACTCAATCTACAGGCTCTTCCTCCAACAACAATTTGAAACTGAACGGCTCGAAGGGCACACCTTCGCCCACGAAATGCTTACTCATAGCTTCCACCCAATGCAGTCGGAGTGAATGCAACATCGCGCTCGTGCCTTCCATGACGCACAGGACCGCAATCGTCAACACGAACCAGAAAAAGAAGGTTACAACAATCATGACCACGCGTGCTCCGGCGCTGGCGGCGCCAAAGGCATTAGCCAGCGTCATATCCCAAAGCACAACGGACAGTTGCTGATGTGCAAGAGACAGTGCCCAGAGACGAAGATACGAGGCTGTGTGGGAAACGCAATTGAGGCAGAATTCAATCGTGTCTGCGGAACATGTCAGCGGGTAGTCCTTGCACAAGAGGATGAACGGGCTTACGGATTGTCTGGTGGATCATGACTTCTGAGAACTCAAATTCCTCTTCTTCATCATCTCCAATGTTCTCTGTGATCATGGCACCTTCATCATCATCCTCGCTTGGTCGACCATTCGCGTGCCGGTCATTGGCATGGTGGTTGTCACCATCGTCGTCCAGATCTGTAGCATGCGTGACGCGGCTCGTATCACCGATACCACGGTAGCCCTGGGCAGCAGTCTTCTGATGTTGCCACCGCAGATACAGCGGCTTTAGAAGGAGCAGAACAGGCACGTTGACAACAGCAATCAAGAGCAAGAATACTTGCACGCCTGCTTGTCCCGAGTACAGCTGCTCGCCGTCCTCTACGGTTCCGGGCGCCAAGAACATTTGAATCAGCATGTTGAGCAGGGAAGGTGGATTCCGTCCCTCTGCTGACCAGTCAATCGACCATTTGAAGACGATGCAAAAGCTGAGGTAGCCGAAGATTGCCTGGAAGAAAATCATCCCAGGTACAAAGTTGCCCCAGATATCGATGGGCGACTTGAAGTGACGGGCGTTGATGTAGGAGAAGCAAAGAGCGTAAGTCATGTGAGCCCAACCCATCAGGATGGACAACTTCATCTTCAAACTGTTGCTGAAGAGCAGATCATTTTCGGACCCGTGCCACGCCCAGTCCAGACCGAAGGGATATCGATAGCTGCCTTTGAGATGACCGGTGACTTCAGGGCGTCCATCTTCAGGGTATTCCCATGCCGAGGCGAACGGTGTGAAGGCCTTGGAAAAGACGTCGTTGTAGATGAGACCCGTGTACATGGAGAAGATACCCATCATCAACATGATATATCGACCATAGAAGGCCATCGCGAAGAGTTCATCCTGCTTCGATCTCAGAAGGGGCTTCTCCCAATAGATCATGGCGGCTGCAGCCATTGCCATCAAGCAACCATGACCGAAATCACCGAACATGACGGCGAATAGGAAAGGGAAAGTGACAATAGTGTAGAGGCCAGGGTTGACTTCCTGGTATTTCGCCGTCCCGTAGGCGTTAATGATGGTCTGGAAGCCTTCGGTGAACTTGTTGGTCTTGTTATAGGTGGGTGGAGTCTTATTGGTTTTGATCTGGTTGACGATAGTAGGCACAGACAGTCCAGCGCGATCATTCACATCTTGTAAGGTGGCTCGAATCTGTGGCAGAGTATTGGTAGGGCACCAAGCCTCGGCGATCAGGGTCTTCCTCGCCTGATCGTACGAGCACATGTTCAGAGCGTTGTAGACGGCTTTCTCTTTCTTGATAACAATCAGCCATGCAGCAAGGGATCGAGCAATAGCACTGAGCTCGGCATCGAGGGTGTTTTTGGTATTGCGGAGGACACTGGCAAGGTCGCTGAGGCGGGTATTGACTTCGTGGATCTGGTCTCGGCGGAGGTCACTGTTCTCGTCGACGTTGTAAAGGTCGGCACCGAGCGACTCGGAGATCTTTCTGATCTTTGCAATGATCTCCTTGCCATGAGCGAAAATGACGAAGACATTTTTCCTGATCTCCTCATTGTTCTCCGGGTTGATGATGGGCTCGGGAATCTCAGACTGGTTCATGTAGAGATTGCCACGCAGGGTTCTCCACAAGATGCGCTCAAAGGCGGCCAGTCGCTCACGAGGGATGACTCCTGCGACGAAGCCAATGTTCATGACTGCGAAGCTCTGCTGTTGAGCGACATCGCCATTAGCCCTGCCTTCTTCAGCCTCGGTGTTGCGCAGCAGGGGGGCATCGTCATCATCGATACTCTGTCGGATATCGTCTGTCTGTCCATGTGCCCTGTCAAAGAAACCTCCCGCCTCCTTCAGAACCCACCGCCACTCGGTTAGCTCGACCTCTCGCCGCTTGAGTGTCTCGTAGCTGTCGTTCAGGTTGCTGACGCGTTGTTCGAGAGCTTCCGATCTTTCCGCAAGTTCGTCAATCTCGCTGGCCTGTGGTGCTGCAAGCATATTCTCGTCAAAGTCCCAGTGGCTCCGCATCTCGATGCCCGACTTCTCCATCTGAGACTTGAAGTAGCGCAGTTGTCGCTCAACATTGTCCAGACGACGGATTTCCTTGGTAAAGGTTCGCTGGAATGCCGTAGTTTCCGAGTTGAGGTCGCGGAACTGAACAACTCCAATCTCGCCCAGAGCAGAAACGACCTCCCTTCCTATCTCGTTGGAGATATAGAGCTGCGTGAGCGACATGCTCGCCGAGCGAAAGAGCGTGTCCTTGTGGGCCATGCTGGGCGGTGGAGGGAGGAAGACAAGAGCCGCCCAGGCCCAGGTGAGAGTGAAGCTGAATTGTTCGAGAGCCGCGAGCTTTGATGGCGCTCACTGTCGGGTTGAAGGATAAAGCTGAGGCCTGTTGCAAGGTCTTTGGGTGCGCCTCGATGATGGCAACTCGCAGCTCAGGTCCCTGGCCTTGGCACGCTAGTCCCGCTTAAATGTTCTGCCTCGAGGAGTAATACGGCGAGGCTTAGAGCATTAGACGCAGAGGTATGAGGACAGCCACGACAGCGTGACGGCAGCTCCAGTCACCAGCCGAACGCGCCACATGGAAGCGACAGGAGACGAGGCCGGGCTGAACATTGCAGTCTCATACCCCGCAATAGTACAATACGTCGAAATACGAAGCGTCGACTCATCGCTATACTGACTCCTTCGAAGCCGTAAGATGGTGCTATTGACACTGTGCGCCGTTTCGATTTGAGATAGCGACCAACTCTTTACTTCGCGCGGAAGATCCTCATCGTTGTTGAAGTGCTCTTTCGCGACGAGATGTCTGTCCATGCCCTCTCATTCTCTGCCCAGCATAGCTTCTCTAAACAATCCTCTAATACCCTAACACTCCTCCCTGATTTGGGCGTAAAGGGAGACTGCCACTGCGGCGAAACGGTACAACATCGCTCAAGACTGAAAATCAGGCCACCGCCAAAGAACCTCCGGCAGGTACATCTGCTCGACTTGGAAATTCTCGATGAGCTCAACGTGAAGCCGGGGGATCTAGGTGAGAACATCACGACCACGGGACTTAAGTTGTTGGAGCTGGGGACAGAAACGAGGTTGCACTTTATGTCTTCGGCCGCGATGGCCAACGGTACGACCGGAGGCGACCTCGAAGACAGCGGACTTGGATCTGGAAGTGTTCTGAGTGTTGCAACTCGGGAAAGATCGGAGGCCGCTGATCATCCCGTGCTGGTGGTGACAGGGCTGCGGAACCCGTGTCCGCAGATCAACCACTTCCGTTCAGGGTTACAAGAGCGGTTCATCGAGAGGGATGAGCAGCGTACAATCGTCGCTCGAAAGGCGGGTATCATGAGCACTGTTGAAGTTGGGGGAATGATAGAAGTGGGCATGCGGATCGTGGTCGAACAGCCGGCGGTGTGGAAGGCTTTGGAGTGTGTATGACAATGATATCGACTGGAGCATGGACCTTTCCTTTCAGGTGGTGCCTCACAACTCATTCTATGTTGACTGTTCTTTCAGGCAGGCCCCTGGACAAGCCAGTGTTTCAGAAGAGGCCAGTGGTGCTCGAGGCGATTTGAAGGGAATTTTCGTGAATAGGCCCTGCTATTATTGGGTATCTCTACCGCTCCCCGCCCTTCGTTTTGTACTACATGACGAATGTCTACCTTGCTCTGGTTGCGGTCAATGGCTTCTTAAGACGTAGTCTTCCAATTCCCTCTTTGTTGCAGCACTTCAATTAGTGAAATGATAATGTCCCGACAAACCAAGCTTCTGCCGTTCAAGGACCCAACCTCCGTCGAAAGTGTGATTACACATTGGACTGAAGGGAGACCAACGATCTACTCATAGACCCATGGTGCCAGCGGAGCTGTTGATGGCCCCAACGCGAATCAAGTACCCTAAAAAACAACGCCCGCGCTATGCTCAGAACGTCAGCACGTCCTAGCCTGTCAATGGAAGGACTAGGCAAAGTAGCTCTTCCATAGCACTCCAGCCAGCGTTTCCAAAGTCTCAGGGTCGAAGATCTTTTTATCCTCAAACCATGTGTCGACACGTGTCTTTTTGAAGTCAGCAATGATGCTCTTGACGGCATTTCCCACCGTGCCTGGGTCGTTTGCCGCTCGACTGGATAACTGGACAAGCAATTCGGGAATGAAGGCTGGTGGCGGACTCGTATAAGGAAATGCTTGGATTAATGCACCCAGACCAAGTACCGCTGCATGGCGAACGACGACTAGCCGCTGTGCTTCTGGACTGGGTGTGTTAGTTCCCGAGGTCCGAGCTGACGACAGCCCGGCTAGCTGGCCCTTTGGCTTCTTCGGAAGAGGGTTATTGATGAGGGCTTGCGTAAAACGATCACGCAGCTGTTTGATCATTCTCTCGCGTAGCTCAAGAGGCGAGCACCGGATCATCCCGGACAAGGTTGTAGCGGCACCCGCTCGAACCTCGTGCTGCGTATCCTCAAGCATATCAGCCACACAACTGAACAACTTCTGTTTGCTCTCCTCTGAGAGCAAGAACAGGCGTCTGAAAAATATGATCTGCATGTTGATCATGACTCGAAGGCGTTGATGCCAGGACGAAGACGTTCTTCCGATGCGGATCAAGGCATCGATCATTGCTTGGTCCTCTCCGATACGATGTGGGATGTTGGGAAGATGACGGAATACATGGTAGGCCAGTGACTGGAGCTCGGGATCCTGTTCATAGTTAGCAATGTTGACCTTCGTTGGGGACGACAAAGGCCAGGGAATGTTGAATGACCAAATACAGGTTGTGGATATTACTGACCTCTTTGACATCCATCATGTGTAGAAACTGCTCCATAAACAGATCCGGGAAGTATTTGAGTAGCTGAGTGCACTCATACGAGGACAACATCGAGTCGAGCCATAACAATATCGTCTTGCTTCCAGACGTGTACGCAGAAGGACTTTGCTGACCTGGTGTGCGCTCATGTCGCCACTTCTCGAGCCGCGCAAAAACTTCGTTCATAGTGTCGTCAAAGTCTTTGGTCGGAAGATAAGGCTGGGTACCAATAGAGCCCGCATCGTTCTGGGTCTGGACGAGCTCCTTGACATCCTTGTACGATTCGTGGTAGCGAGTACGGGTGATGGCGGCAAGGGTCTGGGCCATAGATTCTCGAACGCCCTTGTACGGATGGTCGATATGACTGAGGAAGTTCTCCACGATGGGCTTCTCGAGCTGGAAGTGCCAGCCTGCTTCCAAGACCACTTGATGAAGCAGATGGATCTTGGAGCTCTCTTTGAAGGCGGCATTGGACGACATGTCGAGACGGAAGCTTGTAAGCCACTCGACTAAAGGCCAGGCTCGGCGGGGGTCTCTAGCCTGAAGTATCATACGCAGAAAGTTTGTCCAGTAACCGGAGTTTTCGGGCGTCAGGCCATCCGCAAAGACACGCTGGATGATGGGAAAGGCGAACTCCCACACCATGGTCCTGCGCTCGATCGAGTTGTCCATGACCGAAGTGACCAGGCCAGCAAGAATTTCGGCTGTCGCACGGTGCTGATGTTTGTCGCTCCCATCTCCGAAGACCGCAAGCGTTTCTTCCTTGATGTCTTCAAAAGTGGCAACGGTAAGGCCATCTCTGATAATCAACTCGAAGGCATAAGTCAACATGGCCGCGCTTGCGACACGGAACTTGTCCACAGAAGTGTCGCGAGGCTCTTGCTTCAGATACATGAACAGCGTGTTGAACCATTTTCGATCGAGGAGGCGGCCGATCCTGGTTCGTTTCGCCCACTCAAGTTCATCGTAGACGATGTCCTTCTCGATATTAGCCTTGTAGCCAGGCATATCCTTTGACCAAACTAGCCACCCTGGATAGTCGTGATCAATGTAGACGTCGGCTTCGGGTTGGGAAAAGGTCTTCAAAAATTCATCCGTCCATGACTTTTCTCCGGCTTTAGTCTCGACCTTCACCTTTGCGGGGAACTGCTGGATTGCCTGGATGTAATTTGCATAATCGTGATTGGAGACCGCCCTCACATCAGTCATAGTGAAGAGGGCAACCAGGGCTTGGGAGTATAGTCCACGCAGACCCGGGTGAGGATCTATCGTGCCCAGCGTCACCAATTCGATCATGCTGTCCGGCGCCACAGTATCGAAACGCATGCCCAAGGACATGACCAGCGTAGCAACACGCGAGGCTTTCTTCCAATGTGAACTGCGGCACATTTCAACCAGCTCTTCGGCCAGTTCTGCCTTCCGGCGCTCAATGTTAGCACGCTTAGTCAAGACGAAGGCTTTCTTTTTCGCAATTTGGTCCTCCACATCGTCGTCCGGATTGAGGGGATCAACAACTCTACGATCGATGATCGCCATGCGATCCCCCGGTCGACCATAATCCATGATTTGGAACAGGCCACCGGAACACAGTTTTTGGATGGAAGGTTTGTCGGCACTACTGGCTTCGATGAACGTTCTGATGACCGCTGGCGTGTATTTCCAGTGTCTCCCTACGGTTTTTGCCAGGCTGCCGAACAACAGGGCGAATAGACCGCCCTTGATACGTGGAAAATCATTATTTTCGACAGCCTCCTGGAAAGCTTTCAAGAGTGGTGGGATGACAAAGAGACGGGCTCCAAAGATCACTTTCAGAGCAGATTCTCCCGCACTCTGCGCGTTGCGTCGGACTTCAGTGTACAAGGACACCGCGGACTGTGCGAGATCAAGCAGAAGCTGTTCGTCGAGCTCCGAACGTGGTCTCGGTGCTGCGTTATGGCGCAATCTCTGCGTGTGGTAAACATTCGCTCGTCGAACAAGAATCGAGCGAGGATAGTCTTTTCGAACTCCCGCTACTTTGTACGGCTGCTCGTCCGCATGCAGTAGTCGAGTGACACGGTCAAGTACATGAGCCGAACGTTCGATGCCAACGTCGACGAACCAAGATCTGTAAGCGGTGTACAGTGGGGCAAATGAAGACACATCATCTTCAGCATATTGAGTCAGAAAGACGTGGACATCATGGAGCACATGACCTATTTTTTGTCGCAGGTGATGAATAAGCTTGTAGTTATCGTCGTCGGGGTTGAGAATCTCGCCAGCAGGGTACCGGAACGAAGGTTTGAGAGACGTCTCATCAGTGCCATCAAGGGTAGTGTCACCGTCACTCGCGCCGTTATTCTCTTCGGGCGCATGGCCATTGGCTTGAGACATCAAAGCATCAGCATCGACGCCGGCAGCGGTTGTCGTCAAACCCTCATTGACGCCCTTGGCATCGAACAGTACCGATACGCCGGCGAGCAGCAGGCGGAGAAGGACCAGGTTTCTGGAGACCTCATCTGACCATTCCTTGCCGCTGCCGTCTCGTTTGACGCTGGATGTGCCGTCAATAAGACGCTGCAGATGCTGGATGGCGCTTTCAGCCTGAGTCTGAAACAGTTCAACCGCGAAGTCGACCTCTTCCTTGCAGGGGACGTGCCATTTTGGATTGATCGTAGCAGGTGGTGTGGACGCTCCCCAAAAGTCCGCAGTCAGTCCATCTTTGGCTTTCTCCGGCTCGTATAAAGCATAGTCGGCCGTATAGGTGACGGTCAGGTTGAGCAACAAATGGTGCACATAGTTGGAAATGTGCACAGTCGGCATGCCTTTGCATTTCTGCTGCATGTAAACCGCGATGTCGAAGAGCTCTTGCTTGTATTTCAGGACTGCCGAGCCCACGTGCACCACGCACATACTCAGCATGCTGATGTTCCAGACCAAGCCCCGGTCTCTAGGTAGGACATCGGAAGCGGCATTTCTGGTTGAGCCAGCCCCGTTCTCGTCGATTTCTGTGCGAATGGCGCTTACCAGCACCGGGACAAACTTTGCCAGAGCCTTTTCCGGATTAACCTTGCAGAGGCAATTGCAAATGAACGCCATGGCATCTCTTGACTGGTGGATTACGTGGTTGGCCACAAAATCGACAATCTTGTTCAACGCGAGGTCGTACAGCTCGGGAGAAAGAGAGGCCAAGAGCGGTGCAAACGCCGCTGGGAGCGTATTGACAATGTTCTCCTCTGGGGAGCCACTTCGTACACGTGCAGCATCGGGCAGGTTTTCCAGCAAGGTGAAGACCCTGCCTAAGAAAGAAGTCACAAACTCAGCCAACCCAGCAGTGGACGAGGCAAGTATTAGCTCTTCATCTTTTTCGTTCAAGGCTGCATAGTTGAGCTGAACAGCGGCACCTTCCTGCTCCATACGTTCCATCTCGCCAGTAATCCATTCGATAGCCAAGATGTTGCCTTGAACATCATCTCTCCCCTTGGAAAGATCTTCAAATGGTATGTTGTAGCAGACATTGGCGAAAAATGACAAGGTGCACAGAGTCTTGTCGAGATCATTGGCATCGATGCCAGGTAGGGCAAGGCCAAGAAGAGCCGTGATGTGACAGCGGTAGCCTTTTGTTCTGATCATTGTCCTGGCAAGTATCTGCAGGGCGCGAATTGACGAGATCGTGCGGTGCACCTCCACCAGTCCCTGCATGGAGGGATAAATGCGCTGTAAGGCGCCTGGAAGGATCAGATCCGGCTGCAAGAAAGCCAGCGCCTGAAGGGTCGACAAGGAATAGCTCATTGCTGTTCCGCTCTTCGCATAGATGCCCATGAAGATGACGTCCCGTAGGCAGAGGACGAAGCGTTTTCGGATCGCTTCATTGAGTCTCCGCTCGGGAGGGACTTCCATCTCCCCATTGCGCTCCCGGTTCCACCGCATGACGAAGAAATCGGCCAGGTAGAAGACAAGTTGCGACAATGTTCTTGTCCAAGAGCCAGAGTTGGAGGGATGGAAGAAAGTCTCTATTGCCTGGATCAGGTTCTCAAGCAAAGATAGCACGGATGTCTCCTTGTCCAAGCACGCCGGCGACATAGACATGATGAACCACCTAGCAATGTGGTGCGAGACTGGGTGTTTCCTGCTGTCTCGATCTAATAGAAAGCCCATTCCAGCTGTAATATCGACCAGAGCACTGTACGGCGAAGTGGACTGCCCGACGGGTATCTCGAGTAGTCTCAGGATGGCCGTGGTAATCAAGGTCGACTGTTCGGCGGTGAAGATGCCGAACTCTGAGAAGTCAACCTGCTTACTAGGCAGAGAATCCCGAGCGAGGCGAGAAAGGAGATCGATGAGCGCCACATCCACGGTCCGAGAGCGGTTTACCAAGGAACCTAGGTGAAAGAAGGTTGGCAAGAAATGCTGCGGGCTCAAGTCGGATCGATTAGGCGGAGGCGGTGCTGTCGGTAGAAGCATGTTGAGCAGGCCAATGACCACAAAGGCACCTTCTGTTGCCGACATGGTGAAATGGGGCAGTATTTCTTCCAGCATGGACGGGATATCCTCGGGGTCGAAGTACAACTGAGCGAACGAACAGAGCTTGACGAGTGTCTTGATGTTTCTCTTGAGATTGGTAGTCTGCATGAGACCCGACTCGCTGGGGAGGACGAACACCTTCATTTCTCGATAGAGCGGGCGCCAATCAAGGGTGAGGTCGACAAGGGGCCGCAGGTAATGCTTTTTCCTGCAGACTGTTAGCGCTGGATAAGATTTTGGGACTCGGCGACGCACTTGATGAGCAGCATGAACATGCTGGCAAAGCGTTCACTCACGACTGGGTCGATGCCAGGAGCCAGTGCCAGTTCGTAGTAGAGTTGCACCAGCTTCACCCGCTGCTCTTTCGTCGGATCAAACTTGAGTGAGAGCCAGCTGCGGAGTTCCCTCGTCCAATGCACCGCGCCCGGCGTGAAGTCGCTGGCCTGAATGGCGATGTAGAGGCGCTTGAGGATCTCTGCCAGATTTTCCTGTCTCGTAGCTTCATCTTCGACCGGATAAGGCAGAGTCGAGAAGTAGGGAAATGTTCGGGGTCTGTTGCGCTTGGCTGGTGTCCCAGCGTCGGTCGCTTGACCATCTTGCATGGCTATGGTCCCGGCGGGAGACGTTGCTCGTGAAACTTCGAAGGCATGCTTCATGTGGTTGTTGACGCTGACCAGGTCTTCCATGTCGTGCTTGAGATTTTCCACGTCGATGTCTGGGGCCGCTGAAGGGAGGATATCATGCCAGTAATAGGTTACTTATACTTATCCTGTCTCATGCCGGCTAGTATAGTTGAATAGGCGTTGGGCTCTCTTGCACCTGCCCTCTGGTCGTCGAGGTGTTACACAAGGGCGTGCGAGCACCGTGGGATATACAGCAAGAGGCTGTACGCAAGCCTAGCTGTAGCCTTGCGGCCGAGTGACGTTCTTGGGCGGACGCGGAGAGAATCGGTCCCGACTAACAAATACGACTCCAGGAGGAATGCTGTCTAGCCTAGAAGAGCATCGATGCGGTAGAAGAGGGAGAGTGTGGCTGCAATCAAAGTGTGCTCAATTGCGCGTCACTGGTGACTGAGCGACGGCGGCTGCGCTGCGCTCCAAACTCCGCAGGCACGAGACACGGCGAGCCTCTTGCGTACAAGGAAGGTTTGGCGGCGGTCTTGACGCATCTTCCGCCTCCTCCGCCTCCTCCGCCTCGTTCATGCCAGCCGCCATCTCTCGCGTGGAAACTCGCCTCCTTCAAGGGACGGACCACATCATAATGGCGGCACATCCCATATTGTACCATCTGCTATATGGTGCCGTGCTACGTGTGCGCTTCGTGGCCCTTACCACCTCACTGAAAATCTTGCCGAGTGCCCGAGACCCTGGCTCGTCTGAGAACACAGAGAGACCTGCGAGAGTCCGCATGCACACTCTATATCTACGAGCAAACGTGCAGACCACCACACAGATCGCATGGCTCGGCACTTGAATTCAGCACCAGGATGGGCTACTCAAGCCATTTGGGACTGGGAAGGCCTCGTTGCAGTAAGCCCTTTATACATCATAGCGAGCAGATAACTTCAGCAGAGGTCCGCAAAATGTCCCCCCGCAACGTCTGCCACGCTCATGTGGACATGGGCTTTCCGCTATTGCAGGATCCTTTCATATTGCTTTCCAGGAACAAATGCTTCTATGGCTCTGCTAGGTCAGACCGTCGGCGAGAAAGCAGTGTGGAGGCTTCCCTGGAGCTTTGACGCTAGAAACGCGCGTAGAATTGGACTCGCCGCTCAGAACAATGCTCAGCATTGCATTCTCTTCACCAATCCAGTCAGGTCGTCAGCAGCCTGCTGCTGCCCATGGTTCACCTGCACAGAAACGGACGAGCTAACACGATATTGCAGTAGGAAGGATCCAACAGCTGATCCGGCCCAGTCCAAACTCAAACACTAAACGGTCATGGCCTACTGCAGACCTTCGCATAGTGCTGCATGGGCACGATGGTTTGCCATGCCCACCAGAGCTGCAAAGCATCACTCAAGGCACCGGGCCGCTATCGGGCCTGTCTCACCAATAGCACGTCGTGGAAAGGTGTGTAAATCCGGTGTTTGCGAGTAGGGGTGGCTTATCTCCGCTTCGTACCTGCCAGGCATTTCACCTCTCCTGGGCCTTACTCCCGTCGACACGATTCTCATATCAGATCCGATAACCTCTCGGGGGATCTGTGAATGTAAAGCTCCAGCACGAAGTAAATACCTTTACCCTGGCGCACCAGGAGCGACTCACCCATCCATGGCGAACGCAGTCTTCGACCCCTCAGATCCTACTTCACCACTGTCAGTCTCACCGCATGAGACTGCCCTGCTGCTCATGGACTATCAGAACATGCTTCGGGGACGGGTTGGAGAGGGAGCCTGGGCCAGTGTCACCAATATCGCTTCTTGCTTACGGGATTGGGCGCTCGAGACGAACATAACCGTCTTCCACTGCCTCGTCGATACTTCCCCGGGCACCAAACCTCCTGGGTATAGCAGAACTGCAACTAGATGGAAGGCGTACGAGGCCGCTTTCGCAGCCACACCCGAGCTCGGTCGCGAATCAGAGCTGCTCGCAGTTCGGGGTCCTTCCAAGGTGGAGGCGACTTTTGTGAGAATACCGGGGTATATCTCTGCGCTGGAGTCGCATGGACTTGCTGAGGTCCTGAGGGCAACAGGGATCAGGTCCCTCATTCTCGGGGGCATCAGTACTTCAGGCTGTGTTTTAAGCACTGCCCGTGCGGCGACGGATCGTGGCTTCATCGTGACGGTGGCGGAAGACGCTTGCTTTGATCCAGTTCCTGGCCTCCATGGTATGCTGGCTACACATGTTCTACCCACGAGTGCACACGTTGCAACCTCGCGAGAAATCCGTGATGCCTGGAGAGTCTTGTGAGGGACGTTATAGGGTCATACGGACACTTGCCAGATGTTGCACATCTGCCTCACTGTCGTGTGCTGATGTCCAGACTGGGTGTTGCTATTGGCTGAAAGGAGAACCAGTGACGATTCTCAGTTTTCTGACTCGAATATTAGTTACTCTTCTCCTTAGCTCCTATCATCCGATATGCACCCGTGCTTGCGACAACTAAACATAGCTGCTGGCCACACCTGAACCAGATCTCGCGCAACTTCCCGTGACCAGCAGGAAGGAAAGCATCAGGACAGTATGAGCCATACGCAGGTCTCTCCCGCTGCCAGGATTGTAATGCTAGCAGACGTTTTCCGATTCTGCACCCGAGGCCCCAAGGTGCCAGCAATCCCCCTGTCCCGCAGCCTTGTGCTGGCCTATTATGTGGAACCGTATACGGGGGTGCGTCGACTTGAGGTGTTGACTTTCCTTCCTATCGTGCGGTGCATGGGTCTATCACGGACGCAGTATCTCGCTCAGATCGCCCGCGACACCCTTCTACCCTTCATACGGGGAGGCGGTGAACCGATCTTCGGCGACTGTTGTTGCCCCGCATACCGTAGAGTCTTCCGTCCCACATTTTGTGGTATCTTGTCCCTCTACCAAGACCGCCACTACCACCAAGTTGGGCTAAGCGATGGCCTCGCCGTTCGGTCCAGCTCCTGACAGGTAACGTCGGGTGTATATAGGCCAGACTATCATTGCGGGGATGTCTGGGGGAGGTCCTCACAAACGTGCGCTTTCCCCGTATTCCGATTGTCGAGAGAGGCCGGACCCGTCACTCGATAACCGATAAAGATGTGCATTGCCCGCTTTCCCAGCCTCGAGCTGTTCTTTACTGGTAGACAGCTTTGAAGACCACGACTTGACAATATCTCAATGGCGCACGTCAAAACAGACATGGCTCCAACAACGGAGACCAAGGAGTATTCCGTCGGGGATGCTGTCCCTGACAGCACCGGCGCATCGTCCTCCCAGAAAGCCACCAAGCAAATGATCTTCATCGCGCTGTATGTTTCGCTTGCGGGCTGGATCTTTAACTTCGATCTGGGTAAGTTTCGGCGCAGTTTCCAAGTCTTCCGTCAAAGGTCAGCTAACCAATGCCGTTCAAGGCTTCGGCGGCACGGTTCTTCAGATGGCGCCATACAGAAAGTCGTTCGGCCGCTGTGCTCCCAAGACCAACCCCGAAACCGGCATCACAGCGGTAGTGTGTTCCCAGACGGCGCTTCAACAGGGTCTCGTCTCCCTGACGTTGCTCTTTATCGCCTTCGGAGGCGCCATCAGCGGCATTACGGGCAACTACCTCGGCCGTCGGGGTACCATGCAGGTGGGTGCCTTGTTCGCGGCCATCGGGGCGGGCGGCATGCTGGGCACGGCCGGAAACTTCACGGCCTACCTCGTGTGCAAATGCATCGGTGGAGTCGGGCTCGGCCACATCATCGCAGCGGCGGTGGTCTACGGCGCCGAGTGCACGGTCGCCAGCAAGCGAGGCATGCTCCTCGCGCTGTACAACGTCGGACTGGGCTTCGGAAACGCGGCGGCGGCCGCAGTCTGCTGGGGCTCGTCGACATACACGCACAGCAATCTGGCATGGCAGATCCCGATCATCTGCCAGATCCCACTGTCCTTCATCCTGGGCTTCGGCGCCTTGTGCTTCCCGGAATCGCCGCGCTGGCTGCTGACCAAAGGCCGCGAAGAAGCGGCCAAGAGATCGTTCGCGTGGTTCTACGCCAAACCGGCCGACCATCCCGAGGTGCTCCTCCAGGTGCAAGACGTGCAGCGGCACATCGACATGGAGAGACTGTACGGCTCGACCACCAGCTGGACCGAGATCTTCCACCTTTCCAATCTGCGCCGAACTTGTGTCAGCGCTTTGATCATGATCGGCCTGGCCATCACGGGATCCAAGTTCGTCGGCCCCTACGGCGCCATCTTCCTGGCCAAGGTCGGCATCAAGAACGTCTTCCTCAACAACTTCCTCGCCGCGGCGTGTACCATGGCCGGGACGATCCCGGGTCCTTGGATCATCGAGTACGGCGGCCGCCGCTTCGCCATGCTCTCCGGGTACACGACCATGACGATCTGCATGTTGATCATCGCCGTCGTGGGTTCGACGCTCGGCCAGGCGAGCAATGCCGCCAAGGTGGTCTTGCTGGTCTTCCTCTTCCTGTGGGCCTTTTTGTTCGGCATGTTCATCGGCACCAGCGTGTGGATCGCGGCGCCCGAACAGCACAACATCCGGCTCCGGACCTACGGCCAGGCGTCGACGACCACGGTCTATCAGATCTTCGGCTTCGCGGCCTCCTTTTACGGGCCCTACATGCTCAGCACGGACTACGGCAACATGGGCCTGACTGTCGGTTATTTCTACGCCGGTGAGTACTGACTGATTTGGGCTAAACACGTACGTACTAACCTCCGCTCAGGAGTGACCTTTCTCATGCTGGTGTTGACCTTTCTGCTGGTTCCCGAGACTGCGAGACTCACGCTGGAGCAGATCGACGAGTATTACTTCTCTGGCAGGCCCGCGTGGAAGACGTCCACGGGCCGGAACAAGATGATTGCCAAAGGGCAGATCGTGGACCACTCGCCCGCGCACGAGTACCCTGCTGGCAAGCTGGACGAGTGATGCTGACCTGGAGGCATAGATGAAGGGGGAGAGCGTCAGGGACAGAACCCATAGGCAGGATTGGCCCCGAGGCTCAAACAGACAGAACAGCAGGCGACGGGTAACATCCCACAAGAGCTATGTATTGACAAGCATGCCCTGAGTAAAACTGTGCGCCACTGCTGCAGTCGAGAGACCTCCGTGTGCACCGTACCACTATCCAACTCACCTTCAAGGGTCAGCTTCAGAGATAACCACTGTACATGATACGTGCTGCATTGCTTAGTGGGCGGCCTCGTATCCATGCGAATCCCCCGGTCGAGGCCCCCCAAGACATCCCTGTCATGAATGGGTCCCCCCATCCAAAGCGATACACCGTGACTGTCAGGGAGGTGCTACGTGCCATTAACCACCTCGTATGTTCATTGCAACCTCACTTGATGACGCCGGCAACACCGTCACCATCACCAGTAGTGCATAATCAGAGGTGTGGTAATATGCAATGACAGCTAATTAGCTACTTTTACATACTCTGTGAGTGAGATCACCACGCCCACGTCGGCCGAACGATCTGAGTACACAGTACGTGTAGGGACTCTCTCTCTCTTGGCATGACTACATGAAGGAATATAGGACAGACAACACGAGATTGATTGATAGGTGGATCAGTCGGGGGTTACTTGCTCAGAGGTTGCACCAGATGACACGGAGCGGGAACAATGGGGTACCGCAGGAACGAGTCCGACGAGGTAATTAGTGTGACTCCTCTTCATGTCATTGGGACTCTGAAGTGATGTAGTGAGAGTGCAAGAAGACAAGATGCAGGTGGTTGTGGTCGCGTCACGACGAAGGGTGTGCTGGACGGCGTGGTCTGGGGTGCCAGTGTCTTTACCTATGCACGCATCGCCGCGTTAATTAATTACTCCTTGAAACGACGCTGTGATCGACTTTCTGGAACGTGGCGAGTGAGCCATTGAGTCGTGCTCAGCGGGAGGTCCCTCTGCACGGTACTGTGCCTTGAGGAGAGTCGCTACCCCCGAGGACTATCGCTGGTGGTCGTGAATTGCATTTTTAAACCAAAATATGGGATCTTGTGTTTCTTCTTCATGGATCTTCAGACGATAGTCTCCATAGAATATCTCAATGGTGTTTCATAGACATTATGATACTGAGAGCAGTGATAACTGCGGGTATATAAATATGGTAACGAGCGCGTAAGGTGTCATTCGTGTCGTCCTCCCTTTCACCAGGCGCTCTCTCGTCCCGACATCGATCTCAAACACAACCCTCGTTGCCTCCTCACTGCTTGCAGTCCCTGGTGGCCTCCTTCTCTTCTTTGCCAGTCACACCACCAAGTGTACTCCTTGCTGTCGGCGCAGAATGATGGAGCAAAAACCATATGCATGCTCAAGCAACTCATTGGATCACGTGTTTGTCACGTGACAGGCATGTGACCTGGTTGTGTATATAGCCCCCTTTTCCCTCTTCCATAGACTCTCTCAATCTCAAGCACCCTGATACCTCTCACTGTGACAAGAATATCAGGCACGGTGCTCGGCTTCTTTCTCGGCCTCTTTCTCCATGTTGCTCTCGTCGCTGGTGCGATCCCCAGCCGGGGCAATCTCCCCGGCCTCGTCGAGACCCTCGGCCGTGCCGGCCTCACGGCGAATCTTTGCAATTTCTTCTGGCGGTGGAGGCACCCAAGTACTGCTCTTCCAAGGCTTTACCCCGAGGATGTACATGGTATCGATCTCCTCGAGCGTGCGGCCTTGTCCTTCAACAACAAAAAAGTAGATCAACGGGATGGCAACCAGGTTGCAGCCAGCAAAGACGTAGCCATACAAATAGTCAATATCGCCTACGATAAAGGGAGTGAAGAATGCCAAAAGAAAGTTCCACAGCCAGTTGGAGGCGGTCGAGAGGGCCATGCCTTTGGCGCGGTAGCGGGAAGGGTAGAGTTCACCGCAAATGGTCCATATCATGGGACCCCACGTAGTCGCAAATCCTATGGGACGTTAGAATGGCGTCGACGCACCAGGTAGGACTAGTCGAGGTGGGAGCCAAGCAGGGCTTACCGAAGATGAAGAAAGACGCCATAACAATCATAGCTGTGCCGCTGGACTCGGTTCTCTGAGGATCCTGCTTGTCGAGCGAGAAGTGGCCGACGTTGGCGAAGACCAGGAACATCAGGAACATCCATAGCGATCCCACCATGAGAGACTTCCGCCGTCCGTAGTGCTCAACAATGTACAGGCCGTAAAAGGTCGTGCCAAAGTTGATACCGTTCAGGATCATCTGTGTGACAAAGGAGTTGTTGATGCCGGTTGCCCGGAAGATCACCGTGCCGTAGTAGAAGAAATAATTGGCGCCGGTCAGC